CTAGGTTTACCAAGAACTGTTGTCACTACCACCGTGGCGGTACAATGGGTACAACCTGGAGGTGGAGAGTGTGTTGTAGTTCCTGGAATTGACCCTGTCGTAGTGATGGTAATATGAGATACTGGGGGAATTACTACCGTTGCAGTGCAGTACTTGCAATTGGGTGGAGGCAGCAACGTGGCCGTTTCCACCGAGGTTCCAGTAATAGTGACAGTCTTAGGGCCGGGGCAGACGATGACCGTTGGCTTACCGCCGTTTCTTGGCGGGACAGTGGTGACATAAGGGAAAGGCCCAACTGTCGTAACAGTGGCGCAGTCGCAGACCGGAGAGCCGGGGCAGGAGATTACTGTCGTCTTGCCCCCAGGTTGAGAGGGTGGCTGAGTAGTGACGTAAGGGTAAAATCCTGTAGTCGTAATGCTAACGCAGTCGTGACAAACAGGAGAACCAGCACAAGTAATTACCGTGGTCTTGTCGCCAGGCTGCTGAGGGGGTAACGTGGTGACATATGGGATGGGACCAGTGGCGGTAACCGTGACACAGTCAGTGCAGACAGGGGTGACACCGATGATGACAGTTGAAGGACCACCACCTGCGGCTGGAGGAAGAGTCGTAACAAAGGGAATGGTCGCAGTCGAGGTGATGGTTACACAACCAACGCATGGAGGAGAATCCGCTGTGGGGCCAGGGGAACCAGGGCTACCAGGTGAACCAGGTTTGCCATTACCTGGTACACCGGGTTGCCCTGGTTCGCCTGGACCCGCAGTTTGCCCCGGGTACTTGGTGTAGGTACGGGTAGCCGTCGTGGCCGAGGTGGACCCAGAGCAAATAATCTCGTAAGGCTGCAGCTCAACGACGACCTGACTTCCGTCTCCGGAACAGGCATTTTGACCAGGAGCAGCTAATGCCTTGCTGACCAAGGCGAAAGCTGCCCCGCGCCCAAATAAGGCTAAGGGATGCATGAAATAAGGCAAAGTTGGTCAAACGAGTGAATAAGGGATCTAGACAAAAGGTTGTGTAACAATGAACGAATTGAGTGAGTTGGAGTGTTAGTATCAGCATGCCTCAAGACTGGATTATATATATAGATTGAAGTATTCTGTAGTATTACATGCACGACTGAGAAATTCAGCCCCTCATCCCGTCAATAGCAGGGCGAAAGGCCTAGCTCAATTCTTGGTAGCTCAAAAAAGATAATAGATGTTATCCCTGTTATCCCGTCACCTCCAGGGTCAAGAGAAAATTCCGCTCTCGCTGTCCAAGTGAGTTGGCGCTTTCCAACTTAACTCAGTCTTCTCTGCTGAATAAACCGCTTAGCTATAAGTCATGACTGCAAATAAGACATCTAGACACTACTGTAATGGTATAAGCTGGATAAGACAAGAGCAAGAGTGTGTTATTGACGTATTAGCTTAAACTGCGGTTTAATAACTGGCAATTATGGGGTTGGTATGACCCTCTGTATCTTGAGAAACGCATGCTATAGTAGAAATGCTCTTTATTGATAGTAATGTTACTGTCGCTGCCAACACCTGAAGCTATAGTACCTCTTCGCCTTAGGAGTATACCTGCCTCGTCCCTATCGGTAGATTGTGATGTTGAAAGTATATAAATGTAACTAGCAGCAGTTTTTAAGATTAATTAAGAATATAAATAATAGGTTGAGCTTTATTTTAATAATATATCTAGTAAGTTTAATTCTAAAATAGAGAGCTAGTTATATATTATACTGTTTGAATTAAGTGTATAAAATTAATACTTTAAGTTAGTAAACTTAATAATTATATTAAATATTATATATATTAATTTAAAGAACCTTTATATTTAAATACTATATAATTATATAATTAATACTTATTAGAATACAATTTAATTAATATAAATACTTTTAAGTATTTATTTAAATGATAATTTTATTTATTATAATTATTACTTTATAAGTTAAGTTTAATATTAAACTATTACTTTAAAAGGTTAAAGTTAATATATATTATATTATTTTAAAACACTTAATATATATACTTTATAAATTAAGATCTATAAATCTTTTAGGGTTCTCAGTCCAGTTTAAGTTAGCATAACTTAAGTCTAGGCTCTGACGTATTAGACTACGTATGTGGCTTGACCTCTGCCTCCTTACCTGTTTAGGCTACCGTTCCGCAAAGCTCAAGGGGGCATCTCCTGAAAACCCCTCATCTGTGCGATCCACACACACAACTGAAGGGCATCGCATATTGAGTGAGAGGACTGGTCTACTTGAGCCCGAAACCATGGTTTTTTATGGTCGCCCGTCAAAGGATTGCGCCCCCTGCCGAAAGAGGAAGACTCGAGTAAGGACCCTGACTTGGTTGGAAAGGCCATTGCCTGGTTTCTGACGTGAACCGCACAGTGTGACTTGGTGCCTACAGGCTGCTCTCAATGTCGCAGAGCCAAAATAACCTGCCACGGGTACCGGACCGCAAATGAGCTTGTCTTCCGTGACGAGACTCGGAGTACCATGCAAAAGGTTTTGGCCAGCCAGAGAGGCAGCTTGCTACCCTCCACGCCTCAATGGAGCCCAGACATGTCGGCGCGGCACGCATTCCTCTCTCTCTACGCCGGTACCTATTCGACCGATCTCGCAAGCCTGCAGCCATTACTGGAGCATGCACCTCCCCAAGGGTACCTGCAAGTCTCTGTTGATGCTGTTGGCTTGGCGTTTATGGCATTCATGTTGAATCGCCAAGATTTGATACCTCTTGCATACCAGCGTTACCTGACAGCCATACGAAGCCTTGGAACGGTTGTGCGATCCTCGATGCAAGCAAATCATAATCTAGACAGCCAGCCACTCAGCGACGTTACCCTTCAATGCGTCCTCCTCTTAGATCTCTACGAGAAGATGGCTTACCAACACCACCGATCATCGAAGTCCCCAGGACTTTTGTTGAGCCATGTCCACGGTGCGCTCTCTATTGTCCAGTCGCGCCCTAGAGGCGAGTTCTTGAATCCAACGATCCAACGGCTCGCTACCCAAAGCCTCTTCGCCTTTACACTAAGCTGCGGAGCTGCGGAGATACATATACCGGAGGCATTAGTAAGACTTTACCGTGAGTTGTGCAGCTATATACAAAGCATCCCGTGGTCAATGATTGGTCTCCTCATTCGTCTCATCAACCTTCGTGCCGACCTACGGGAAGGCAAGTTTGATCCGATTGATGTAGTAAAGCGCGCTCGAGACTTGTACGATGAGTTGTCTCGCAGGGAAAACCAGATGCCACGCTTTTTGTGGCCACAGAGGAGAGATGCATGCGAAACCGGAGCTTTTGACCACTACTATGACGTCTATCCCAACCACCAGGCGGTTCAGATTTTTAACTTGAACCGCTTCCATCGCCTCGACGCCGCAGAAATTATTCAAAAGTTTGAACCCAGCACTGAGATTGCAGAGAACATCGCACAGATGACTCAGGCAATATGCGCTTCTGTTCCTGCAATTATATCTCCGACGGCGAGGTCCCATAATTCCATTCCTTTCTCGCCGTTACAGATACTCGAGTGCTCAGCTTTATTGTCACCATTATATGCAGCTGCTCGCAATACACAAGATCCCGCAATGCGTGATTGGATTCTACAGACGTTGATGTATATGGCCAATAGCGGTGTAAAGTTGGCCCGAAGCGTGGCTCATGTTCTTATGTTCGAGCCACTTGCAAGCCAATGGGCTGTATTTGGGATAGTTGGTAATTATTCTGTTGTCGGAATTTGAATAATTAATAGTAAGATTCAGGTTCAGGGTAAGCAATATAACCCTTGACCTCCAGCGATGTGTGTGTCTCCACTGAAAGGTTGTGAGTGCTGCCATCTCCTACGGCCAATATATATAGCCAGGGCCGTCTGTATATATGCTAAATAATTATTAATTGAATAAGTTTTTTTCTTTATCTACTTTTTAAAAATCTGCAATTTTTAAGTCCTTATTTATATATAATAATTTATTAAAAATATAATTAACTTATAACTTAAGATAGTTATAGCCTCTACGCTTACTTATTATTACATATTAATTTACACTCTTGCTATATACATTGCTGACTCTGCTTAGAATTACTTCCTATAGCTACCGAGAGCATTAAACAGGATATGGGCATAAAGTTGTCATTATTCTTCTTCCATATTGCGGGCGCTCAATTCACCTTTGACGTTTATTATCTGCCTGGTAGCGGCTCTTGTTGTCAGCTGAGATGTCCTGTTGGATCGGGCTAGCTTATACATATAAGGACAGTCAAGAAGTGGAGCTGCCGAGTTATCCGCTGGATGGAGTCTGACGCCCGGGCGGGTACGAGCTTTTCCAGCAGCTGTCAAGAACGGTAGCCCTGGCTGCCCGGTTCGGATAAGCCCGACTGGAGCAACCATTTGACAGGATGAGACATCAGGGATTATGGCAATATTAAATGCAATTAGTCGTGCAATAGTTCTACAACCTGTCTAGTAAACATCTTGCCTATAGAAGATAGAAGTATCTAATTGCCGACTATATTAGACTTTTAAGTAAATGTAAGGAAAATAAGTTCTCTCTAGGTTATATAGTTAGTATTTTTAAAGAAATATTATAAACTTAAGACTAATTGGTAAAGATACCAAGAGCATAGCTGGCTGAAGGACTGCTATAAGCATCTGGATTGCAGGTTTTGTACTCAGGACAATAGTCGTGGTTTCTCTGCATATCGCATAATCTCGCAAGACCAGTTACAGGAGTTAGTATCACTATTCTGGGTCTAGTGATGTCACTCCAGAGCTACTTAGGCTCGTGCTAGTAACGTCGTTGTCGGATGAGAAGTTGGTTCTAGATGAAGCCTATGTGCTTAAAGTGCTTTATAAAGTAGACGAACTAAGTATGGTACTTAGGCTCGTTAGATTAGCCAAGCCAGATGAAGAGATCGAGACCGAGGAAATGACGACGTTAGAAGAGGCTTTTGGACTGGAGGTAATAGTGCTGGAATTGTTTGCCGTGGTTGCTGAGCCAGGTGAAGTATCAGAGCTAGAGATCTACTGCATTGGACAAGCTTGAACTGAAAGACGGATCTGCACATGACTTGACATCGGTGAGAATGACCGTAGTAGTGCGGGTAAGGCAGTCTGAGGTCGTTCTAGCAACGGAGCTGGTAGTCATGCGAGCCATAAAGAGGTTGAGGATAAGGGCATCGGTGACAGCGACTGTACCAGCACAAGTAGGACAGTCACTTGCTGGTTGGAAAGTAGCTGTACCCCTGGCAAGCCCTGTTGTATTGAATGTATGGACCGACAAAAGGGCCATTGGTGACTCTAATAGTGCCTGGGTATGTTGAGCAACTTGTCGGAGGGGGAAGAATTTCAATTTCTGCGGTTGGCCCAGTAGTGGTTTGCATGATGAATGGATCTGTATATGAGTCGTCCGTGACGGTAATGGTACTTGGGCAAGTAGGGCAGTGGGCAGCCGGCACTATTGTGGACATGCCTGTAACGGGCTCTGTTGTGGGTTATGGTATGAAGGGCCCTTTGAAAACAGAACTTTGGCTGCAGGTTGTGAAAGCAGTATCTGAGGACGATGAGGAGTCTGAGGACCTGGCTATTGTAGTTATGGCAGCAATAGGTCCAACTGTAGAGTTAGTCGTGCATGAGCCAATGAACTGACCAGGTGGTCCAAGGGTGACCACAACAGTTCTAGTGCAAGACTTGGTGCAGCCAGAAGTGACAGTCAGGGTCTTCGTTCCAGCAGACGGGCCAAAGGTAATCAGAGGAGAGAATGGACAGGTGAAGGTACTACAGGTAATAACAGTTCCCGTACAAGACTATGTGTAACCTGAGGGGAACAGAGTAGCTTTTCTTTTCATCTGCCCAGTTGTAGTCAATGTGTGAACGGGGCACTGGATGGGGCTTCAGTGACGATAACGGTCGCAGTACATGACTTGGTACAGCTAGAGGCAATAGATAAAGTGGTGGTATATAAGATTCATCCAGTCGTAGTTACTCCTGTAGTAGCGGCGTCAGGAATGAAAACGATGGCCGTGCAATATTTGCAACCAAAGACAGGGAGGATGGTTATGGTCTCTGGAAGCTTGGAAGTCACAATGACAGTCTTTCTTCCAGCAGAGGTGATGATTGTGGTCTTGCCACCGGAAGTGGCTGGAGGGACAGTAGTCATTTAATGAATATAACCCGTAGTAGTAGCTGTGACACAGCGGTTGCAAGGAAAAGGGACATCAGTAATGATAATAGAGACCCCGCCTTCGAAGGCAGGACGTATAGTGGCGCAGAATGGGACTGTCGCGGTGGTTGTAATCGTGACACAATCAACCCATGCAGGTACATAGCTGGGTTCGCCCTGCTTCGCTGGATGACCCGAGTGCCCATGTTCTGAGGGCGAATCAGGGTAGTCCGGGTAGCTAGAGTAGCCAGGAACGTTAGAGTCAGGATTCCCAGGCCCACAAGGCTCCCCAGTGACGTCAACTGGCCAGGGGCACTTGGTGTAAGTGCGAGTGACGGTGGTTTTAGAGATCTTGCCATCGCGTACGATTTCGTACGGCTGCAGTGCGACAGCCTCAATACTGCCGCTGCAAGACGTCTGCTCTACAGGCTGAGAAGCAACAAAAACGCTGCTCGCAAGGCCTAGCGCTGTGCCTCGTCTGAAGATAGAAGGGAGATATATGGTAATATATTGAGAAAGTAAATTGGGTCTTAAATAAATAGATAGATAGATAAATAAATAAAAAGAATAGTAATATAGTAACTATATAGTAGTTTGCTAGTTCTTCTTTATTATATATATTTAATACTTAACCCTTTTTGCCTTATTTTTAAAAGATTTATTAAATTAAAAATTATATTTACTTTATAATAAAACCTTTTATAAATTTTATTAATAATTTTATTTATTATAGTAAATATATAAATATATAGTATATAATTAATACTTTAATTTAAATAAACTATAGTAATAAGTTTTAAAGTAATTAAAATAATATTAATATAAAAATTATAATAAAGTATTTTTACTATAAGCTTTCTAAAGTTTTTTTAATAACTTTTTTATTAACTATTTATTAAGTTATTAATGTTTTAATGGTTTTGTTTTAATAATTATTAGGTATTTTAATCTTAATAAGGGTTAGGCTAAACTCTTATAGAGGCCTCTCTAAATATTTCTTAAGTGCAGGTTTAATAATAGGCTCAAATTTACCAGGATGGTAATTGTCGAGGCTACCAGCCCTTCAGGGATAAGGAGCCATCCCAGGATTGACTTCCAGCCATCTCACATATAGTGGAGAGTAGAAAACCATGTTCAGCTGAGAGATGTGTCGAACCTATCATTACTGTCCGCTTTAATTGGGGTGGCCACGTCAACGGATATCTGTTGGTCTCTAGCTAGGGAATATCCCCAGAGTCTCAGGGATAGAAGACTCCTTAATGTAGCTCGAATTCGGCTTTTCGGTATTTGTCTCTCGGCTTGTTCGAACAACAAACTAACTACGGTATAGATAACGATGAAGTATGAAGTTCTTCGGAAATCCACGGTCAAGATCGCCCTGGCCATGCATCATGCCAGCAAACTATCAAGATAAATTATTCTTGCCTGACCAGTTTAGGTCACTAACTTCAAGATATTTTGGATTTCACTCACAAGATCACTTTGGCGGATTTAACGTTAGGCTGCATAGACCCTGTAGGTACAGGGATAAACAAGTCCCCCAATCTCGGGGCTAACTGAGAAATGAGACCCATAGCACGATACTCATACAGACATGCAGTTGTAGGATTCTGAAACTGAGGGATAATCTGTTAGTCAAGATTGGGTTGCCCTGACACCGCCAAGGGTCTTGGAGATACTGAAAGGCTTTGGACATATATAAATCACTTGACATACAGACGTTGTCGTTTTCAGCCTGCACTTGGTTGTCGTCCACTCATTAAACCCATCACTCGTTTCCAAATCACCACAAACGCATCATGAAGCATCTCTCTATTTTTTGCCTTCTCTCCGTCCTCAATGGAGCCCTCGCTGGTAGCAACGATCCAGCCTCTGGCTGCGTGATGACCAGCGTCCTTCCGACTGTCACTGTCGGTTGTTCGGAGGCTCTCCCCAGCGCGACTCAATTTTACCCCCCTCTCGGCACTCAGCAGCCTGGTCACGAATCCTCATCGCCCATCAATGTTCAGCCTGGTCAACATTCTTCCTCCCCTGGCATCGCTCAACCTGGTGTCGATCATCCTGGGACCCAGTCTCTCACTGGAGTTCCCAGTAAGCCCACTTCTGGCTCTGGTAGAACCTCTGGATCCAGGCCTGTCATCAATGGCGGCTCCGGCTCAAACGGGACCCATACTGCACCAGGAACCCACGGTGCTCCCACTATTGTTTCTGGGGCCTCTGTGCTGATGGCTCACGTCAGTGTCGAAATGGTTGTGGCGAGCCTGCTAGCCTGCTTCATGCCAATGTTGATCGAGCGTCTCTGAGACATTCTACTTTTGTCTACAAGAGTTGACTGCTTTGAACGTGTGGTTTATGAACTACATGTGGAGGAAGATTCATAGGCCCGAATTGGACTACGACACGTAGTAATTCATCTTTACTTCCCATTCTTTATAGGAATACTTATTGATTCAACTTCACTTCTTTCGCTCCTTTAATACCTATAATGCATTTCTTTACAAACAAACGTTGAACTTCTTGTACCAAGATCTAGAGTAAAAGACTACATCAAAACATATAAAGCCAACATTACATCTACCTTCCATTCATTGCTCTTTCTCACGTTGTTGAAGTCAATGCACTCCGTAGACTTGTACGCCATAGACTATCAGGAATTACCGAATTGACTCGCTTCATTGGCCTGCTCTGGTCTAACGTCAGTAACAGTCTCTGCTGCTCAGTTCACTTGCTACTTCAAGACTTTCCCTAGCTCGACCTGTTATACCGGACACAACCAAGCGCACCACTGGTATGTTGCGACAAAATGTCTGCATGAGTCTCATTTTTTCGGTTGATCGACAGACTAGGTAGTCATGTCTTGGAATCCCTGAACTTTGGAATTCCAGTCTCGATAGGATTAACTTGGCCGAATTCATTTTGCCGAAAATATGTTAGCGCCCTCTCGTTAAGCAGGAAAATCTTTGACCGAAGAGGGATACGAGTAGATCCAAGTTCCTAGTGGTGCGTTCTCGTTAGCCCCAAAGCTTAAACTCACATTCGCCTTATTCTATGTGGGAGTCTGTACTTATGGCGAATTCTTACTGTAATAAAGTATAGCATAGCCCGCCTGAAAGTCTCAATCGCGCGAACTGCATCGACGATTTGGATCTTTAGCGTTGAGTTACATATACCTAAAGTAAGCCACCACAACAATATGTCAGCTGAAGATGTCAAGCCGTTATTTATCGGCCGTCCCCACTTCCTCTAGTGAGGCGTTAGATCCAGGCATCGGTTCATGAATTGTTCCTGGGGCAGAACGGTCCAACACAGGGAGAGATATTCGGCGCCGGTTGAAACCTTGCCCTGCCTGTGAACCTTATTCCACCCTAAGCTATGACTTAGATCCCTCGACTATCCCTAGCTATTGCACCCTTGAAACTTCGAGAACCAATGAAGCTGTACGATCGTTAGAGCTGTTCTAGACATTGTTGGAGATTGGGTGAAATTTGAAGCTAAACTAACCCAAATGTGTCGCGGTACGTTACCGTAGCTCGATTCAGCTGGATCATCTCCAATTAATGTCTTGGGGGCGGGGCGTACGCCCGCAGCAACTGAACGCGATGAAGATACCACGATAGTACCCCAAGGGGTAAGGCGATTTCCGCTGCACCCCACGGCATCAGTCCCTACCTGCATCACAGCTGTACCTGACCTTAGTCTCGTTTCCTATGCATCGGATCGCATTTCCATGCGGCCGGTGCGGGGATCCAGGTTCCTTAAAGACTGGGATGCCGCTCGATCAATTCCCGGTTAGTTACTCCCGGCTTCACTCCTTGTCCATTCTCTCTGATCTTTATACCGATCCATATTATGCAGGTCCAGTACGATCCATCACTTGATCTTGGAGCTCAAGAGCCCTTTGCAATGGAGCACCATTCTGTTCCCAGGTCCTATGAGCTGGATTTCAGCAATAAAGAGAACATCGACGAGTAAGACATTGCTCCTCAGATCTCGGGCATTTAGCTAACGTTTGTCTTAGGTGGTATATGGTTCCTGGAAACTCCAATTTCGTCATCGACTACGAGTATCCTCAAATGCCCCCCTTCGCCGAGAACGTGACAGATTTCTCGTACTTCACTCCTCAGACACCAAAGACATTCGGGATGAACTTTGGGTTTTCTCCTGTTGAGAAGGGCGAGTTCCTTCTAGTTGATCCCTTATTAGGTACTGGGATGGCCTTGGACGACGGGTACATCTCTAATCACTCGCTTCAGCCTATTGAGATGCCCATGACTAGTCCATCTAGTGTGAGCTCGGTTCCCGAGGACTCGTCTTGGGAGTTCGTCAAGCCACTTACAATCGAATCTGTCTGGGATCTCTCAGCTTTGCACCCCGACTCATGCAACATCTTGGGCCGAAGGAACTCGGAGCCTTTCAACTGGTCTGGTGCATCCACCCCAACAACCAACTCACAGGGTAAGCATACTCCGGTCAACGCAAACCCAGGCTGATATGGACAGATGAGCGCGAAGACCCTTCAGCTTTACTAGCACTATCTCTGAGGGACGGCTTTCGTTACCCCTGCCCTGACACATCTTGCAACAAGAGTTTCAAGCGCAAGGAGCATGCTAAGCGTCATTACGTGACGTGAGTATCTATCCATTATAAGAAGCTTGACTAACCGCGTGTAGCAAGCACAAGCCAAGAATGCATTATCTACAGTGTGAATTCTGTGGCAAGGACACCTTTACTCGTCGAGACAACTTGAATGCCCACCGCCGACTGCATGCTCGACACCCTGTCAAGAACAACGGCGGTGTCCACTTTGTTCCTGCGGCACTGAAAGTGCTGCAAAAGGTTCAGAAGCCTACGGCATATAACGGCAAGCTGCTTCGCCTACATGGCTAGAGCGGTTTACTATTTGCGGACAATTGGCCCGGTTACGTGGTCTGTAAACGATGCTATCGCTTTTGAATTTGGAAATGAGATTGGAATGTAATGTCGTATCAGGCTATCGGATTTTTTTAACATGTCTACAAGTGTTTGCAAATTGTTTCACCTTGAATAAATGGATTTATGTCGTATCCGGAACCCCCGTGATTTATCCCGATTTGTGATAATTAGTTTTAGCAAAAGTGCGTTCGGCCCCGGCTATGGCCCCGACGTCCCGTTGAAGTCAACCCGCACTCCGCAATAGTCCCACATCCCATTAATAGCTGTTCCGACATCCGAACACCTGATGCGACATCCGGATAGAGCTCCTGATCATAAGAGGGCATATCTTCGTTAGTCAGTTACACAAAACGTATCAGTATAGATCAGGATCTGCATGTTGACTCTGCAATGTAACGTTGCCCCTTATTGTTTCGCTCAAGACGATCGTGGCAGCATATGACCCTGCAGAAATTCGACCTCGGGAGCAAACCAATTAAGCGGTTGCCGCCCGAATATGATGGGGCCGGGGTCCCGGATTTAACGCCTAGCGTAGCGGCAGATGGTTTGGCCCGTCGCGGAGTTAAGGCCTAGCGTGGCGTCACACGTTCAGCACGGTCAGGCTAGCCGCGGAATTAATGCCTATCGTAGCGGCAGATCGCCAGGCCAGGCGCGGAATTGAAGCCCAGTGAGGCGTCACACGGTGGCTAGTGCGATAACCTTGATGGCTTAATCCCTAGTGTGGAATTCTAACGTTTAGTCGATAAAGCGCTTGCAGTACATACGTCTCGCCTGCCTTATGTAGAAAGTCGCTGTCGGCTAACCAGAGCCAATATCATCAGGGATCCAGAAGTCAGCTGATAAATATCTTATTTCTGATACCCACTTGCTTACTCACAGCTTACCGCGATCTACTAAGAGCCACTAATAGTCATTGATTGGTCTGTATAGTAGTTGCGCACGGTTCCAAATATGACGAGAGAGACTGTCAAAATGACAGGTACAGAGAAGTAGATAACAAAAAGGGCGTGCCCCTCGTTTACGAGTGTTATTGCAGTTGTGCTGAGGAGGGGATTCGGTAGACCATGGGCGTTTTTCACAATGATCATTAGGGGTGATGAAGTTCCTTTGCCTAGCCCACCACAGACCAGATTTCAGATGCTATGGTTTATCGAGACAGGCTAACTGATGCTTGGCGAATACAAGCTTTTAAGCCACATTTATAGCTCCAAAAGACGTCGATCTTACCAGACGGTCGGTAACAGTACCTATTGTATGTATAGAATCACCCCTACCTATACTGTTCTGGCAGACTAGCTGTTCTTTGCAGTCGTAGCTTGGAAATCCTGGACTATTTCCTCCCCCGAATTCTTCGACCTAACAAGACGCCACGGCACCAGCTGTGAGGCTGTGCACAATCGCTTATTTCGATATACTAACTGTATTAAGTAAGCGTTCCGCACACGTGAAAATATGAGGCAATTTAGTTTGCCAAATCCATTAACCCCAGCCTATGTTATACGCGTATTGTTCTAGGTAATGTCCCGGATAATGTCCTGAACTCTCTTCTAAGCGAGGTTCAAAGGCCACTTACAACTATTCCATACCAAAAAGGTTTCGGTATTGACGTAGGTATCCGGGAGATTCTCTCTTCAAGTTCAGTCTCAAACTGAAACTTATCAATTTTATACCACAGATTATCATTTCGTTTGTTTGAAAGTCTCTGACCAGTTGCGCCTTCAGGATATCAACCCCACATTCAACAGCTCTGTGATTTCAATAGTCAAAATTTTGCTATTCAATGTCTCGTTCTCCTCCTTGATACTTCGAGTTGCCCCTTAGGTAATTGCCGGCTGTTTCCCGGGAGGACTTTGATGTAGTATGGATAGATGAGTTTGATGTATAGTTTTCAAATGACATTGCTTTTTTCTATTTAAGTTTAAATATCCAGTATTAAACGCAAGATCTGCAGTAAGTTTCTAATTATGAATTGCTTGTATATATAATATAATTTTTCACCCATGCGATCATTGGTGAGACCGGAATACAATTATCGCAAGGACATGCTTTACTACGAAATGTGTTCATTTCCTTAATGTACGATATTATATAAATTTAAAACCAGTAGCCTTCTTTTCTTTATTTATGTATATAGTAAGTCTTCCTGTTATATACCTTTTTCAAAGCTGTAAACAACATGTAAATGTGACCAAGCATTCCAGGGTAAGTCAGTAGGCCACAGCGAATTGATAAAAAATGGCCAATGAGGGATCAGCGTCCCCAGATTCCAAGACCAGGTGGGCCATTAGATTACCAGATTTAAAGCTGCTGCGTTGAGCTGCCATTATCCTGCTCTTTATTATCTGCTGTTATTATCACCAAGCGTCACCTCAGCGCAACTCCACTTCTTCTCAAATTTACAGAAACGAGAATTTTTTAGAGTTCTCTAAAATGTCTCGACTTTTCAACCACAGAAGGACCGATCCTTTACCTCGGTTCTTTGGAATATCCCTCGCTGTCACTGTGGTACCTTACGGACTCGGTGGCCCGTTGATGTTATCTATTTACGGCGGTGGACAGTTCTTAATGTTTATTGGCATCCTGGTTGTTCTGCTCCAACGTGCTGTTGCAGTACCTGGGAGAACTGGTCTCTCGACACCCAAGGGCCAACTTCTGGAGTCTATTGCTAGTTGTACAGACTCACAAAGACCAAGAGATACCAACATGCAATAGAATACTCACCGGGTGGGCATGGCTCATCGGGAAGTGGACCATCACATCGCTAACCGGCTTTGCATTTGCATCCCTCATCGTCGCTACCGCGACTGTGTAGCGGCCTGAATGGATTCCTACAGCGCACGAGATTTTTTATATCTTTTTTCGGGATTTGCATTCTCATGTTTATCCTCTATGCAGCAGTCGATCTTAGCATGACACTGCAGCGGCAATCTGGAGTATTGTAATAGCTATCGCAATCCTGATTGCTCTCAGTCCCACTACCGAAGAGGGAAAATACTCTTCTTCGTATGGGCTCACGCACTATGGCACCACTATCTCTGCCTGGAGAGAATGCTCCGTCTTCCCTGGACTTCTGTCTCGTACAAACGCTCTCTAGGCTATTGGCGTGGTCATAAGCCCCTATGGTAGTAGTTAGCTATCGGCCCTCTTTCCGTCGACCCTGGCCTACAAGGGATACTTTAACTTTTTCAACTAACCCCCCAATTTATTCAAGACATAGGTGAAATACGCTTACCTATTTCTTGTTCAAGAGAGCTGAAAACCTTCAGAACCCTGCCGGGCTGAGACCTCAAGGCACTCTTGTCAAGCGAAGCTGGGAAGTCTTTGCCGACCTGTTGCTGCGCTATGTCACAGATTTCGACAGAGAACGGTCCGTCTGATGAGGTATAATCTATGTGAGATATTGCCACCCATAGTTTCTACAGGCGGAAGCCCTTGTGTTGTCCGGTGCCGACCTCGACATTCGTAGCGATGTGTGAACCTGAGGGATGCAGCATGCTTCAGAAAGCAATTCTCATTGAGATATAAATCCTAATCCTCCCGATAATGCCAGACTATGCTCTGACAAATCATCCTTCACAAACCTCCAACTGTGTACACTTCTACCATATTTTTAGCAAAGCAATACTTGGTACTACTTGCCATGAAGCTCACAGCGGGTCTCCTCATCCTTAACCTACTCTCCCTGGGCCTGGCTTCAATTTACAATGAATGGGGATTTGACAACGCACCATCTACGGGACTGAATGACATAACCTTCCCTATGAGTATGAAGGGAGCACCCAGAACAAATGGTTACTATTTTGCACAACAATTTAGCTTCAAAGGAATGAGCGATGTCGGGTACACCGGCCTCCAACCTCGGCCTGAGAAAAATGGCAAACGGGTCGTTCATGCTGTCTTCTCCTCGTTCCAGGATGGGACTACAACTCAGCACAAGAACTGCCACGCAGGCGCTGACGGTGGCCCCGGAGTCAGCTGTGCAATTGACATCTTTGGTAGCTATTCTCACCTCTACCACTTTACCGTGCGCAACATCGGCGGTACAACTTGGAGAGGGACTCTTACCGATACAGCCACTGGAAAATCCAATGTCATTGGCGAGTGGAAGCTTCCGTCTTCAGCAGGCAAGATTGACAATGGGCAAGTCGGTTTCGTCGAGTACTTTAACTGGAATGATGGGACAACGAATCATGAGTGTAAGACGCAGCCCTTCACTCAAGTATTCTTCGGCAACCCTACCTCCAGGACATCAGGAGCTATTGGTGGTGCGATCACCAAGATTTATGAAGCTGGCGAATGTGTCGGAAAATTGGATCTGAAGGCCACCAAAACTACCAAGGGATATAAGATCAAGGCTGGCTTTGTCCAGTAGATTGCCCCAAGTCCATTCCATCCACGACTTCACGCTGGCTTGCCCGCGTTTGTTGGCTTTGGATGTTGGTATATCATCTATATACAGGATCGTGGAGCTGTTCCTATGTCAATTGTCGATTCCTTTATAGTGCTAGGAGGCCTCATGGCTTCGGCGATGAATAAACCTATTACTTCCTACTCGTAAGAACACCTATTTAATCGTCCTCAAAACTATCCCTAAACAAGTAGCAAGCAAAGTCATTAACAGTTAAGTGTCTGTATTGATATGCTGGGGGGCTTTTAATCTAAGCTTGCAGCTCGTGTAGAACCTTTGGCTTTACAGGCTGAGCATCTGACTCCACTAAGACACTATCCGGACCAGCATCTGCTTCTGCCATCGAACGAGAGGATTGTAGACCATATTTCGGAGGACCTTTATCTTCTTCATCTGCACGACTTGAAGTTCTATCCTGTCGCGCCCGTCTCTTTCGACGCATAAACCACCATCCCAAACCTGATAACAGAGCCAGACCAGCAACCCCTGCAACTACTCCACCAGCTATAGCTGCCACGGGCATCCTTTTACTGGAACCAGAGGAATGGGACGCAGATGAAGGGGGAGGCTTTATTGAAATACGCTTCGCATCCGTTTCACAGCAATCAGCGCGTGTATCCTCCAAATAGTTGCAACAGAATTTATCTGATCCGCATTGGTTGACTTGCACCAATAGAGCTTTGGGTTCTATTGACTTGGTCAGTAGCCATCGACAAAATAAGGCAGTGACTAACTCAGATCACAAATGAATTGACAATCGCTCATATCATCGCTTGAGCAGGCACCTTGATACCGAAAGTGCCCCGTCCATTCACACAAGCCATTTGGCAAGCATCGATCACCTGGAAGGCAGCAAGTTGAGAAAGTTGTGTTACCGGAGCCACACGGCTTATACTTGTAATCCGCCCACTCCCCGTTTGGATTATCACATCTCTGGCCTGATGCCCAGCTGAATAGAGATACCAATAAAAGTAAGCTGTTTAGCTTCATTTCAAGGGGTCGCTGGGAGAATACGTGTAACGGGCCGCTAGGGTCTGCTTAAGTGCAACGATATGGAGGGAGAACGGAGAATAAAAGCTTAATGAAGAGGACGGACCTGATTATTTAGGTGAACCTGACATGGTTCTTGGTCCTCTAGGCCAACAATGACATCAATATGGTCTTACATTCAAGGTCGAGACCAACAAACTCATGAACAATGCCAAGTGACGTCAATTGTCTCTTGGCATTTGATCTGTACATAACCCCCAACCCATGATTCGTCGGCTGAGTCAAGCAAAAGTCCCTTGCAAGGGTGAATTGTATGAAAGAAGTAATCTCCGCATCAAGTGGCCCCCAAATAATAATTTATCTTGTCCTCCAGGCGGGCACGCCTCCGAGTGATGCTAATTGGCTTTCACAACTGTTGAATACATACCAGCATGCCATGACCTATCAGTCTAGCCTTTGGAAGAACCGAATGAGTCAAAACAAAGTGGCACAGTGGGCTATCGGTACAGGAGCCAATGCGATCTGTCTGCTGGGTCCCCATAATTCTCTTTGTATGTCATGTACGTTACTAGTTTCAGCTGAGACAATGAACTATGCATTACTAGCCTTTGTGGGGTTCTTGGTCCATGTGGAGTATGTGTCTTGCTTGAGAGAAAGGAGTAAGTGCGTGATGACCCATTTCATGATGCAGCTAAATAATCAGATCATGCAGGTCCCAAGGCTGAAGCGGAGCTCACAATGTACTAGGGAATTTAAGAGGAGACACTATGTAATTATGGCTAGATCCACAGTAATGGGCTAGCTGTATTTGTGATTTCTTCTGGTCATGCAGGAATGTCTATCCAATAATCACGAAATGTCTCCTGGAGCAAATCCCATCGGCTGAGATGAATGTGTGTATCGTGACCAGATAGGTGCTCGGACCGAGCTCCGGCAAGTGTACGAGATAAGCCCCAGAGGCTATATCACCTGTATCAACATGTCCCGGGCAGGTTCTGGTCGTCTGATAGCGCTGTACTTATGGAGCGATCCATTGCCATGATATCCAAGTTGCAGTGGGGAAAATGTACCAATACTTGTGTCCAGTCGACTTTCCAAGCGGTCTTACAGGGCTATGAATAGCAATTATTTTTAAAGAGGTGCTAAATCCGCGTGCAGTCTATCTAAGCCAGCTGACCAGACTATGTCGACCCACGCCATAGAGCGAAGCTTATTGACCAGGCCGTTCCATCTTAGGCCTTGTGCTCTCATTAGGCGTTGAAGTTGAACTATTAATCCTTGCCTGTCTTTACCGACTTCTGTCATGGCCCCAATGACTAGTATAAACAGCTCACCGTGTTCCGGACCCGCCCAATTAAGTCCATGCTCCCAATACATCCTGGGTAGTCTACCTCTGAAATGTGGAGTCACCACATTTGAAGTCCTGTTCCCCGCCAGAAACGTGACCGGGCCTGAAAGATATCCAATCACTGCTAGTCGAAACATCTCGTATGTTAGAATGCAAGGCGCCAAGGAGTGCTGGAGAATATCTGGGCTGTTGTATCGCGGCAAAGTTAGTGTTGTATATACTGCATCCTGAAGTTCTGCCAGTAGAGCTGCATTCTGGCTCAGTTCAAGCTCTGATTGTCCCATAGCTAGATTCGATAGTTTGAGAAGCAGCTCCAGAAGCACTTCAATATCTCTGTGGCTCTTTTGTACGGCATCCATGATCCCGTCCTCAAGATCGGCTTGACATAGCTTGATATGAGGTGGTTGGTCTAGGATCATAGAACCTGTCAAGTCCATCCTATAGATGTCATTCATACTATCAAGAACCTTCAAGACTGGTTTATATACCAAATCGTCGTTACCTGCAGGCATCGGGAACTGAGGGTATTTATGCCACCTCGATACTCAATCATCTTTTGAAGCCCCGACATATGCGTCTTCCACCGTGTTAAGTTATTGGTGAATATCTTTTGAAAGTCAGCATAAACACTGAAAGAAAGTATTCCAAACTGACATCATAGCACGCTAGATTCACCACTACACCAATAATAGCTTCGTGAGCCATAAGCTGAGCCCCAAGCTGATTTCGCAATATTTCAATGGAAGCATTGTAATGTGTCAAACTGCTGGTGCTCTCTTCGGATGCCCATCCTCCAGTCCTCTCAGGATCTATCTCAAGGCGAGCGAGGGCCAAGTGCATGGCGCTGTCGTCGGCCAATGCAAGAGCGAAACAAAGCTCGCGCATGAGCTTACAGACTGGTGCCTCCTGTTCTACGGCTACTGCGTATTGTTAGAACTTAGATACTTGTTTGACAGGACCGTGGAACTAACAGAAATGCAGCATGCTGCTCGTTCGGGCGGAAATGGGATATCTGCTGGGCTTTTGGTAAGGGCAAAGAGATGGGACTAGATTTAGTGAATGTCGGTACTCGAATGCCCACGATGTTTCTGGGGTTTTAATGCCAGGACTAGAAGTGTTGGAGCTTGCTGATGAGCCTTTGCATGTGACCCCTGGTGCCTGCGACAAAGACTTGACAGATTTCAAGGTACTTTCTGTCTTGTCGTCTGGACGGGCGCGCCTCCGAGTGATGCCAATTGGTTTCATCACATGACTGTTAATTCTCCTCTGAGTTTTCCTGTCTTTTATGTCTTGTGGTCGAGTAATGTTGACAAACATCAACTCTACTGCTGGATGGGATGTCGACATTGTAAATATGGGATGCAGGTATGGAGCAGAGAGGTGAGATGCATGGATTGTTCTTTGCGAGTCCCTCGTCTTAAATCAGGCCATCTATCCAGGGGTGGTCCGTGAGTACAGCCCCTGTTGGGGGATTTGGGTTGTCAGCACTAAAGCTCAAAGCAGATCCAAGGCCGCCCCAGAGAGCGAATAGGGGCAAGATCAACTAATTTCGTATCTCCACTACAGTAACAAGAATGACTTTGAGTATGGCAAAACTCATCAGCATGCAGGAATTGTTGTCAAGTACATACATTTTGACACATAATGTCAGTTGGTGACTCCACCACTGACAGAGATGTACTGCCCCGTAATCCATCTCGCTTTCTCAGAAACCAGTAGAAGCACAGCATCAGCGATGTCCTTCGGAGACCCAGCCCTATTAGCAGCTCGCGTCATCTCGATAGAAGGTCGTTGGAATTCATCAGCTATGGCTGCAGGGATCGCATCAGTCAATACAGGTCCAGGCGCGACTGCATTGACCGTGATGCCCTTGCTGCGACCCCACTGATCTTTATGTTAGACGTGGCGCACAGATTGTTTGATCCAGTTTCAACTTACCTCCTTAGCCCAGGACCAAGTGAGACTGTCGAGAGCAGCCTTGGAGGCCCCATATACTGGGATGTAATTGTCACCCAGCTTGGAAGCGATAGAGCTGATATTGACGATACGACCTTCGGGTACAATAAGAGGTACAACGGCTTGGGCGACGAATATGGTGCCCTTGATATTGACGTCTAATACTTCAGCTAATTGTTTGGGAGTGACTACCAACGTCTCGCCAAAAAGTGGAACTCCTGCATTATTAACTACAGTTGCATGTTAGCGTATGGTGGTGAGATGGCAGTGGCCGTACACGTACTAAGGATATCGATATGGTCAGTGTTAAACGCTCTCAATGTCTCGTCAACCAGATATTGAGCACCCTCTGGAGTATTGATCGAGGTCTGGATAACGGCGGCTTTGCCACCATATGCTCTTATACTCTCGGCGACAGCTTGGGCTCTCTCGGTAACAGAATCGCTCACGTAGTGGATGGTGACGGCTGCTCCATGTCGTGCCAATGTTATCGCTATAGCTGCACCGATGCCGTTTTCTCGACCAGAGCCGGTGACTATGGCTATCTTTCCATGAAGAGAAAGGCTGTCGGTGGTCATGTTGAGTGCAAAAGGGTTCATGTAAAGCTGAGTGATTGTCAGAAGTCCAAACGTTGTCAACTACGGCTCTATTTGTAAGTGCGCGCCCATCATTTTAAAACTCCAATATCTCTAAACGACTACAGATTTAATGTAGCCAAGCTATCACCTGTTTCTCATCTGGGTAAGAGGTGTTAAGACCTGTTCCCTATTCAGGCCAAGTATTTCTTACTTATTTGCACAAATAGTCAATACTCAAAAAGTCCGATGTCATCGACCTATGGACCGGAATACCTCGGCTCTAAAAAAGATCCATACCTGACTAGACCTAGATAGGAAAAAGGTATCCCTGTCACTGCGGCTGATCCATCACAGCGCTTACCAAAAATACTCCACGTAGATGCATTGCTAGCCGTCACTCTTACGTCGCCCTATTGATCAACTTGCCGCAATGGATATAGGTCAAAGAAAAAGCCAGGAAGCTTACTGGGGTAAGAGAATTTTCCAATGGGAAGATATTAACAGTCACTATCCCAAAGTTTGCTAATCTTACAAGCTTACTTCATTCCTATTCTTAAGTTTTATAAATGGTTCCAAACTGAGCCTTTTTGGATGGTGAAATCCACCTGTTAATCGGCTATACACGCCTTGTAAATGCCCGGCTGAATCCTCCAGGCCACTTCATTCTCGTCCCAGTAGCTGCAGGCTACATCAAGCTCGACCTCTAGCTTCACCAGTTGAGATACACCTGGTTGTAGCGAGACTCTTGTGAACGCTTTAAGCTCACGCTCAGGCCTCCAAACTAAGGTATCTTTTGCTGGCTTGATATACAGATGGACGACCTCCTTGCCAGATACTGCACCTGTGTTCTTAACCTCAACGTGGCATTTGAGTTTCGGCTCTGTCGATTCTCCGTCGACGGTAGCCCTAAGCCCGGAATAGCTGAAGTTGGTATACGATAACCCGAAGCCAAAAGGCCACCTCACTCGGCTTTGGCTATCGCGGCAACGGTATCTAACTTCTAACCCTTCTTTATATTCAAGGTAGATATTTCCATCTTCCACGGCCGTGGGTGAGAAGTGTTCGAAGCTTGGGCAATCCTCGAGGGTCTTGAACCACATTGTGGCAAGGCGCCCGCTTGGACAGACCTTGCCAGTAAGAATATCGGTGACTGCTCTCGCGCCTTCTTGGCCGGGAAAATGGGCGTTCAATATCGCGTCTACATCGTCAACGAAAGGGTTGACATTAATCGGGTTGCCGCAATGAAGAACTAATACCGTCTTCTTTGAGACGGCGGCTACAGCCTTTATCAGGGCTGTTTGATTCAGTGGCATGTGCATATCTTCAAGGTCGAATCCTTCCGACTCGTATTGATCGCTGCGGCCAGCGTAGATGATGCTGATATCTGACTCACTTGCCAGCTTCGCCGCCTCAGCGATAGCCTCTTCCTCTGACCGGTACTCCTCGAAGCAAAGCGTAGCAGAAAATGGCGTCGGTTCGCCGACAGCAAGTTCTTCGGGACCCTTGACGATGACACGGATATCGTAGGATTTGCCGGCCTCCATAAGAACTTGCAAACGAGACTCTAAAAGGATGGGGTTGAAGATGAATTGCTCGGTAGAGATATCCTTAGCTGGACCTGTCAAGACAATCTTGTCATTGATGGCCACGGAGAAGGAGCCAGTACACCTGACTGCCAATGTATGCCGACCAGTGCTAAGGGGAATCAACTTTGTGATGAGCTGTAGATTGCAGCCTGGAACCTTCAACTCTGGCTTGAACCGGCCAAGCATCCAAACATGAGGTTTCGCCTGGAATTCAGACAGAAGAAGCTCGGATGACTCTTCGTCGTAGTACTTAATGTCCACACCAGGGCGGCCATCAGCAGAGATTAACTGCTCTGTTGGAGCTATCGGGATGAGTCGACGGGTGCGGACACCAAGAGCGCATTTGACGGAAGGGAATTCTTTTCGCATGACATCCAAGGGCGAGAGTCGATATTGCGGTATACAAGATGCACTCCCCCCTCCTGTAATAACAGGATCTGCAGAAAATTCGCCGATAAGTGCTATTTTTTGAGAGTCCGCAGGTGAGAGCGGAAGTGCCTTGTTGGCGTTTTTGAGAAGAACAATTCCACTGGTGGCAATCTCCCAAGCGAGCTTGTTTTCTTCGTCGCGAATTTCTGATCGCTCAGGCTTCTGGTCATGGCAGGATCGTGTCCTGTTTCTCAGCTCGAGCATCATTTTCACCCTATTGTTGATCTCTTCTTCGGTAACGGCGCCGCAATGAACCGCTTCGACCAGTTTTGATGCGCGAAAGACTGGAAATGGCATTTCGAGATCCAGCCCAGCCTTGATTGGCCCGACTGTATCATGAACTCCAAACCAGTCTGACATGGTCATGCCCTTGAAGGCCCAGTCGCGTCGTAAGACCCTTTCGATTAAATCCGGATTGGCACTGCAGAACTGTCCGTCGACCTTGTTATACCTAGACTGATTCTCAGTTCGAAATCCAATACTATAAACATCGCGACTTACGCAGTCATCACACCTTCGGGGTCAGATGTTCTGAGGAGATGTTGCCATGCTGCAAGGTAAATTTCTCTCAGTGTCCTCCCGTCAACTGATTCCCTAACGTCATAGGAATGGCGATATGTCTCTGCATCGTTGCATACGAAATGCTTTACACATACGCCAACTCCGCCTCGATGTAAGCCGTTGACAATAGCCCCAGCTAGCTGGCCAGAGAGGGTCCTCGCTGAAGCACTCGAAATTGCGGCCCCCTCGCGGATCACGGTGAATATTGATAGTAGGTCCCAGTACAAGCTGTGCGCTTTTCAATCTCGCTTGCACGGCCAGTTCCTCGCCTAAACGGCCAAGAAGCTCAGCGTCAAATGTTGAGCCGTAGCATGTAGTGCTGGGGAAACTGGCAGTAGTCACCTCAAGTTCCATGTCATGTGGACCAATGCCATTCACAGAGTTAGCTACCTGAGCGGTCGCATTAGTATATATTCTTGTCTCGTCATATCGTAGCCGTGGCGTATGGGTTTGCTTACTTTCATAGGCGGGATGCCCAGGCGATCGATGCCAGCGGCAGCATGGAAATCTCGCCCAGAGAGAAGGGATACTTTCTCTTCAAAAGTCAGCTCAGGGAGCAATGATTGGAAATCCATATTGATTGTTACAGCTCTGCGAAAAGATTCGTGAATGATGGCGATGTAGGTACTAGTAACCAAACGTGACGGTCAAATTTTATATTGATCTGCCGACTGGCTTTACCCACGTTTCAGTCGTCATTTTGCTAATGCTTTCAGCTGCTCGGAATTCCCGTGTGGATAACGTTTTCCTCGGCAGGGAAGCAAATAGAGGGGTTTGTCAAGGCCTTGACTCAGTGAGTTACAGCCGCTAACAAAAAAGGCAAAGAGAACAATACTTGCTGAGGATCCTATTTCAGCTTAAGGTTACATTTATCTTACGAATTCATGTCTCACGCAATTCGCGCACGAACGCGGTCTCTCTGAGAGAAAGCAAGAGATTGCCCCTCAAACTGTATAGCCTGGTAATTTCCTGAAAGGGGATACCTAGAGGAGTCTACCCGTAAACAGAGTCCGGAAAATCCGAGAATCTACTTGTATAGCTTTATTCCAGGCGAGCTGAAGCAACTTAAGGATAGAGCGGCTCGGAAGACTAGATGGTTACGGACGAGGTGGTGGGATACAACTCCCAATTATCTAACCTGGTATTCTTAGACCAGAAAGAGGCACTAGAAACGCGAATTGACTACGTGTCCTGTCCTTAGAAAAGACCTGGGTTTACAGGTTGACTAATTAGCTTGTCGTAAGCAAACCATCCGAAGGACCAGGCGTGTTGACATCAGATGAACACTACTGTTCAACACTTTCTTTTGCAATATTTAGGTAGTATAACTCCAGTTCAAGTGAGGTCCGGTCAGGAAGAGGATTTGGTAATACACTTTACGAAAAGAAAGAGTAGGAGTAGGAGCAAAAACTAGTAAATTCGAGACACCATATTCTCCAGAATCTTAAAACTTGTGGATGACCTGTAATTCCACCCGCCGCGTAATGGGACGACGCTCTGAGAATATGTTACCATCATTTGCGGAGAATTGGCACTTACACAATCAGGGTTAGCTAGGCCAGTCCCCGCGTGGCCGTAGCATCCCTGACCTTTAGATCGCCCTCTCTCATTCGGCCATCTCGCCGGCCCGGAAAACCCGAGAATTTTCCCCATGGGGATGGTTGTCTAGATCGTCCAGGACGGAGCATCCGAGTAATGAGAGTGCGAATAAGTTGCCTCGGCACTAGAAGCCCCCAATGCCGGATCATGTAAGAAGTACTTATATCTATACTCATGCGTTAACTTAGTTACTATCAGAAAATCAGCTCCCGGATTGATCATTGACTGTCAACCTTTAATGGTCTGCTAAATCACAAGATGTCGTATCCTTCAGGCGAAAATGGGGACAAGGCTTTTGACGTTGACCACACCGAATCAGTAGTGATTCAGGCAGACCGTCAAAAATCGGCTTGGCAATGCATCTTGGAAAACCCAAAGATAGCGGCATGGACTCTGTATGCGAATGGTTTGTCTAACCTCATACCTTGACCACCTATCAGGTCTTCGAAAGTCGTTGCTAAAGTTAGTCACAGTTGGTTCCGCGTTAGTCGGTTATGAGAATCTCGCATTGTCGGTCTGCCTGGCCATGCCAGCGTTCCAGTCAGTATAATTCAGCACACATGCACAAACTCTCTATTCAAGCCCAGACTTATACTTTCTTCAGGAAGACATTCGCCTCCGACGTAAATGGTGTCCTCATCATTCCTGCCGCTTGGCAGTCTGCATGGAATGCAACATATAACGTACTACAGTTATTTGGAGCATTTACCGCTGGACATCTTCAGGATTGGTTCGGTCGTCGAGCTGTATTCTTAGCGGCTATCATCTGTGCATCAGCATGCATTTCACTTTCCTACATCTCACAGACTCAAGGCCAATTCCTTGGTGGAAAGATAGTCACTGGTTTTGCTGTAGGTCTAGTGCTAGCAGCCACCCAGACGTATGTTTCCGAGATTGCACCTCTGCCAATGAGAGGGATTGCATTGGGCATGAATACAGTTGAGCCCTCACTATAAAAGAGACCAGTTCTAATTTCGTGTTCCTTCAGAATCTCGGCATGCTTATTGCGATCTCCGCCACCTTCAGCCGGGTCTCTATCATGGACGAATCTGCCTTCCGCGTCATCTTTGCTGCAGCATGGGCGTTTCCAGGTATCCTTGCTCTTGGCCTTCCCTTCCTCCCAGAATCACCATACTGGCTTGTTATGAAGCAGGAGCATGACAAAGCCCGCCAAGCTCTTCAACGCCTGTCGCCATCTGGAGAAGATATCGATGCTCGACTCGACCAAGTGCAGCAAACCGTCTACAGAGAGCGCGAGCTTGCGAATGGAGATGTTTCCGTCCTTGACTGCTTCCGCGGAACAAATATGCGTAGAACTCGCATCATTTTGATCTGCATGTATATGCCAAAGGTTGTTGGTGCGGTTCTCTCTTCAAACGCGCCATACTTTCTCAATCAGACAGGCCTTGACAGCCATATGGTTGTGACTCTGACGCAGATTGGCATCAGCATGGGAGTTGTCTCAGCCGTAGTTAATCTTTTCTTGATGATGAAACTACGCCATCGTTTGCTCATGTTCTGCGGCGTCGGCATATCAATCATCATGTACCTGATTATGGGCATTGCCAGTTTGTTACCCAAGACAACAGGTTCGCTTACCGTCATTGGAGTGTCTCTCCAATTTATCTCCATCTCGTACGGTCCAGCTGTAGGTGCATCTATGGCGGTAGCTGGCGAAGTATCGGCAAGCAGACTGAGAGCCCAATCGTTGGGCCTTGGTGCAGCCTTTATGGCACTTGCGGCCACCTTCTGGCAAGTTGTTCTACCTTATTTGTTTAACCAGGACGAGGCAAACCTTGGTGGAAAACTCGGCTGGATTTTCCTTGGGATGGCAATTGTTTATCTTGTTATCGTATATTTTGATGTCCCAGGAACAAGGGGCAGAACCTACGAGGAGTTGGATGTCATGTTTGAGAAGGGTATTCCGGCGCGGAAGTTTGAAGCATACAAGTTTGAGGACAATAATGCTTAAGGACAATTCTTTCAATGTAATCCAAGTATTCAAGCACCTACTCAGACATTATATAGCTGCAAGGTAGTGCTGAGGGGGGTGGTAGCTAATTAACATGCCCCAAAAACAGTTCTTTTCCGCCGTCTTATGCAATAATAGAAGTACTGGCAGATTTCGTTCTAAAATCGGGATATTGTTCATACCTATATCTAATCTACCGCTTATGAATACAAGCCCCAGGCCGTCTAGGCATTGGTGAGCAGTAGAGAAATAGGCTAGAAGAGCAGGGTGACGTTGGTCCCAGGGGTACAAAACCGCTGGTCTTACATTTACTCGATAATAGATACGATACACCCCAGGGCATCCATCATCCATTGCCAACGCTTCTCAAGTTGCTCACTCATCGAGAAAAGGCACTATCCCTTCTCGAATCCACCACGTCCGCTGCGCCTCATATGGATCCTCTTCCTCTAAAGCGAGGTTGTATGCCTCTTCATCCGCTTCATAGCCATCCCCTTCTCTTTGCGGCAGAGAGTTAGACTGTCGCTTTTGATCAGCTTTCCACTTTTTTCGAAGTTTGAAAATCCGACTCAGAGCGCCCTCCCGTTCACGACCAAGAATTTCGTGCCCCCAGTTTGACATGACATGCACGGCAGTGACTTTCGGTATCTCCCACCATAATTCGACATCCGGCTTGTACCTTGAAACCACTCTGTTTCGGTTCTCAGCTAGTTTCTTTCGCAGAGAGGTCTGGATTATATCGAAGTATTCATTCCTCTGGAGTTGTTTGTGATTCTTGAACAGTTCGCCATATGGTCCGATACATGTTACCGCCAAGGTACTCATATAGTCTTCAGGCGGAAACATTTGCAAAAGAGCATCAACTTCGCTAACGGGTTGGTAGCTCCAGATAAATTCGGTGTCGTAGTTGTGTCGCTTCGTCCCCCTGGCAATTGACGTTTTCAGTGGGCGGATTTCATCCATATAAGGATCTGACCATTCCACCAAAAGTAGCTCCTCAAGGTGCTGAAAGACTCTTAATACAGATGAAAGATCAGCGAGCGTGTAATTTGCCTGGGAAAAACTAGGATGTGCCAGATATAGCGATCCTGTGGACTCTTCCAAGGCGACTCTTTTGACCTTTTGCATGTCGATAGGATGGAATTGGCCGATATCCCACGCACAGCCACTGAGTACCCGATGCTTGGTACCCCAATCGTCCCCACGAGAGATGAACAGGACATCTGTGTCAAAGTTGAACCATGTTTGAGGACCGTGAGACCGTGAGCGAAAGGCAAGCTGATAGCCTTTCTTGATTAAGACGCCTCGAGATTCACGGCATGTATGCAAGAGTGCAGGAATCGGTGCAGTGCTAAACAATTCAACTTCCCTACACAGCTCCCAAGCATAACCTGGGTTCTCGCTTAGCCAGTCAAGGCTGATTTGAGGTGCAAGCTTTGTCACGTCCCAAGGGCGGTACGGCGACTTGGCGCTCGAAAAGCCATAGCGCTCAAGTGTTGTCTGTTTGGTCTGAGACGGGATTTGAGATCGCCAATTGAATGAGAAATGTGTGAGAGACTCGTCTAGTCGGAGGGCGTTTGGTGTTGTCCGTATACGCTCCGCGAATTCATCGTAGTCTTGCTCAGCAAATCGTAAGACGTGGACAAAGCGGGGTGGCGTGGCTAACCTGTAGATCTCTTGGCGGAGCTCTAGAGGAAGTTGAGAGAAGAAATGGAACTCGGTGAGCGACATCGCGACTTCTTGGCTTCTATCTCTATGGATTAATGAAGTTGGTCAGGTCTTACCGCCTCCGATGGCAGCGTAAGCAGGCTGACATGGTCCGAGGGAACAATGTTAGTCCGTGGATCATCATTGGCTAAGATAGAGTGAGAATAACAAGCAATCAATCATTATGTTTCTGCCTGATCGTCTAGTACGGGAAGCTTCCCTCTGGAATCTTCTCCAAAACTCCCGATTTCTTTTGCAACTCATCCTGTTCGTGCAAATACGGCAAGAGAATATCCGCCCAGTGGTGTTTACCCTTGTACTTTGAAGCTGCCTCATCCCAGTTCTCAATCGCTTCAGCTAGACGCCCTGGAACATGAGGCTCCTGTGCGATAGTAGTGATTGGCTCAAAGTATGTGCGAACCGTAAAGAGAAGAGCTTTGGATCTTGGAAGTCGTCGGAGAGACTGTCTCTCGGAGCGGAAGTAGAGGTCCTCGATGGTCAGGCCCTTGTCATTTGCCGTTTCCCAGGCTGAGAGTTGTTAGGGTGTTCGAGAAGACATGACTACAATCGCGGTGACTCAATTAGAAAACTTACACGCTACTTCGCTGCTGTCTTGATCGCCCATGCGATGAGACCAGTGAAGACCATCATCGAGTTGGATGAAGAACTAAATGGTCAGCGATGACTATGAGACGGGAAACATACTCACATTGTTTCGAATTACTGCCTTTTCTGGCTGCATCGTTTTGAAAAAACGGTTCATAGACTTCTGCAACTTTGTCTGGTAGTGGGGAACCTTGGCTTCAATGTGTAGAGTGTCTAGAGACATTCTGAACTTTTCACTCAATCGCCAGAAACCAGGGAGACAAACAGCTCCAGCGTCGAGATGATATTGACCGTCTAAAATGTTAGTCAAGTAAGAGACGCAACCGTGAGACTTACCATCTTCTTCAACCATGACGATGAGATCGTCTTGGACCAATTTGGCAGCTGTTGCCATCGCTTCCTTGGGAGTATCTGATGGTCAGCTGGGTCTGGCTCTGAGGATGGTACATACTGGCGGGGTAACTGAATTCTTCCCTTGTCAAAGTGTTGCGAAGAATGCCATTGCTGAGCTGAAAGATCTTGGGGTACCGAACAGTCAAGTATGCAGTCAATTCCTCCAGAACCTCGAAGCAGGCATCTCGAGTAACAGCGTTGTCAACGTATTGAACATGCGCATCAATATCTTTCTCGAGCTCAGAGACCTTGAGATCATGGTACCAAATAAAGTTGGAATCCATCTCGATCCAATTATTCCAGTCCATTTTGCGAATGCCCATGGTGACGTGGTTGGGTCCGTGGCGACAAGGTCGGTATAACTCGGGTTTCTTTGCGTCCAGATCGAAATCGAGCAGAGGCTTTGGTGAAGGGGTCTTCCATTCATCATCCGTTTTGACTGTCTTGTTAGATAGGTTCCCTGATAAATCACAAAACATACCAGCAGCTTTACCCTTGCGCATCCATTCATACACAGCGAAAAGACATAGGCCCACTGCCGCAAAGGCAATGAGAACAGCTTCTTGACGAAGATCCATTGATTTGAGTAGTAAGGACATTATTGATGATGAAACAGGACAGAAAGGACAGAACATCGTTGAACTTAAATATCTGGGATGATAACAGTGCCTAGAAACTTTCCAGTTCCGGATTACTTCCCCGACTGACCATCAGCGTATCAAACCTGATGTAATGACAGCAAACTAGGCCACTTACGGTAATTCACCACGATTCAGCTTCCCCGCCCGGATGATGTAGTCCGCTGGTCCCCAATTGCGGGTTGTATTAGGGACGATAATTATTGACTATCTCATTACTACTTATGATCTTTTACCTGTCTTGGCTGTCTTGACAACACCCTCTTTGTGGAGCGCCTCAATAATATCGAGAATTACAAAGTCACAGCCCTTTGCAGCCATGATGTTTGCTCCAACAGGAACAAGCTCGTTTTGGAGACTTGAGTTGGAGAATTGGCCCAGGTCAAACATGCCCAGCGAGACTGCGTAGTCTGGGAGTCCGGCGACAGAAGCGAGTCTTCCGGCGTAGACGGTCTGGCTGCCCGAGTTGGAGTCTTCTTTCTCTGCTTCTTTCTCTGCTTCCAGTGATTCCTCGCAAGTTTCCTCGGTCCCAAGAGTTGAGTTGCAGTTAACGGTAGTGTTGAGCTGGTTGATGAGGGTCTGTTGTTCGGAACCAGCTTGTAGAAGCTCACGGATATACGGATTCGAGCCACTAATTTGTTAGCGATGAATTGAATTGACAGGGCAACATACTCTTGAGAAACATCTGGCTTGTACGAAGGATAGCTGGCTGATAGATAGACATAGACAGCATTCGAGCAGCTCTTGTTATCAGCAGTCAAAAATTCGCTCGCAACCCATTCCTCAACACCTTTCTTGGAAGCCAAATCATCTTCATGCGTCAACCGCGTCATTGTCTTATTGGCGTTCATCCAACCTTCGCGAATCCCAGGCACCATATGAGGGAATGCACCATCGTGAAGACTCTTGTACTTCTCAACATAATCCTTGCCAAACTCATTCCACTGCTCATAGGATGTCAGATTTGTGTAGACATCTCCCAGAATGTTGGAGAGAGCCACGTCGCTGAATGCTTTTGGTGTAGAGTTTGTCCAAGCCGAGTCAATTGAGAATACACTGCCATTAGCAGACATTAAGCTCGCGAGGCTGTTTAAGAACTCTCCTACTGCATCCGCAGCTTTGGTGGAGTGCTTTTCAAGGTTGACGAGAAACTGTTCACTACCGCTGTCAAGGAGGACCTCAGACGGCAGCCCAGAATACTCTTTGATCGTACCAGCGTAAAGGGATCGTGTGAACTTGGACAAAATGGCAGGATCCCTAGCAATTATTCCTGAGGTATCCATGGCGGATGACAGAGGGAGGGCTCCTGTGAGATTGACAGCATCTTGTGTAGGACGATTGCCGTGGACAGCATTCTGGAGTGCAGGGCCACGAATACTACCGCCTGTATCGCTTCCCATACTAGCATCAAGCCAGTCATATGAAGCAACAGCTGCAGCAGAGCCACCGGAGCTATCACCAGGTGAGTTGTATCCGTCACCTCGAGGGTTGAAGGGGAGAAGGTAGTCGATATGTTCAGTGAAGGATGGGCCTGCAAACGCAAACTCGGACATTTTGTTCTTTCCAACGACTACAGCGCCGGCATCGATGAGTTTTTGTACGCATAGAGCTGTCTTGGTCTTGACCTTGCTCATTTCATACAGCGCTCTGTTGCCACCACTTGTCTTGACTCCTTTGAGATCGTACAAGTCCTTGACACTGAGACGAAGACCAGCGAGAGGCTTTTCTTTCGTGGGGGTGAAGTATAAACGCGATGGGACGGCGATCGTGAGACCTCCTGCGGAGAGGGCACCGGCGCGAAGGGGATGGTGGGTTCCGGAGGGGTCTTGGTAGGTGGACTACTACTATCAGCGATGTTGAGTACATAAGTGGAGAACATACTTGGATGAAGGCTTGGTTGGTGTCGACATAAAGACGATATGCCTTGAAGACATTGCCTGTGTAGCGATGCACAAAGTATGGGCCCGCAGGCACCGACTTTTGACCGGTATATACCGCTGAAACGTTGTACTTGGAGGATTTGAAGGCCAATTCCTTATCGGACTTGATGTACAAAGCTGCGACCGTCAGATACGTCAAGTAGGTGCATCGTCAAACATACTCTGAGTAAACTCCTTGATCCAGACATCATCCTTCTCATACCCCCCCAGCACAGAAGCAACGCGCTCAACATTTGCCGTCTGGTTCAACTCAACAACCGTCAAAGGCGTAAACTCATCAGAATCAGCCGAAGCATTCCATGAATCCAATCTCCACGCTGCAGTTGGAGGAACAAAGTACTCATGGTCACCCAGCTGTATCTGCCTCGAAACAGAAGCGGCAGACACACCCGCAAGGTAGAAAACACTCAGTACCAGGGTAGAAAACGACATTGTAATAATTGCTGTCCATTAATCTCACCAGCGAGCGAGAAACTCTTTATATAGAGTGCTCGCCAAGACTGTACATCTTGGCTTACAGGCTTCCCATGCTCACTCCGTCCCGTTGTCGGCCAATCGCGGGTTTGGAATCGTTAGCCCCCAAACTGTCGGGGCCTCGGGGCTAAAGCTGACGATCTTGGGTGACGTGTAGCGCGATGCAGCCCCCACAAGCTGCCTTGAAACCAGTTGACATTATCCCGTTTTGGCTATTCAAAAAGTGTGCTTGTTGAGATCAGCCCTACCAGCTGACGGCTGATGCCTGGGGATGGGGGTTGAATTGCTCTTTCGAGAAGGTTAGTGCGAGCTGAATGATTCAGCACATCACGATAATCTTGATAATCAGTAATTGCATCATCGACGTCTACTTGAATTGCCTTTTTCACTCTAATACAGTTGAAGATCCTCCTATTCTACGGGCCTCTACAATTGGCCGACCCTTAAGCTTATCCACGTTAAAAGTCTCGGCAAAGTCTGAGCCGGGTTTCGGATGAATTGCAAACATCGGCAGTTTCACTTGGCCGCAGATAAGAGTAAAAGGTTAAATTCATCGGCCGATTTTAAACTCCCGTAGTTTGAGTCCCCAATTCCCCGTTAGAGTTCTTGTTAGAGTTTAATAAGCGTGGCATTCTTGTTGATCGTTATATCTGGCCGTTATTAAGCGCCTCTGTAATACCAACGTCCCGTTTAAACGCCTCGAGCCAATCTTTGTTCTCTGCAATGGTTTGGTTAAATGGGTCATCACTAAATTGTTAGAAAATCTACCAGGCGAGGTTAAGGGCACGTACTCGTTATAACTGATCCATCGCGCGTAATGCTGGATCTCTTCATCCGAGGGAACGCGACTCGCTGGATTATGCGGCGACATTATGGCAGATACCCATCGTCTTAATTCCTGGGTAAACCACCGCCAGTAATTATGATCATTTAGAAAAGCTGTACTTGTCTTGAGAACGAGACCCCGAGCGGCGAGGAGATGGGGATCAGGACGAAGTGGCGTGTTCCAAGCTTCAGGGTTTTCTGTGGTCGTGGAATGTCGCTGTCGGAAAGCGGCCAGCCAGTAATCGTCGTCTGCTGCTGTATGGTTCACATTTGAATCTGAACCGTGGATGATCACGCGCGCTTGTCGGCGGAGGTCGTCGTCGGGCGGTTCAATGCCAATGACGCGTTGCAGGTCGAGATAAGCTCCGAGTTCTTGTTCGAGACGCGTATAATCCTGGATCATGGCGTTCAAGTTCATTCCGTCGGATAATCCGATCAATTCAATTCCTGTGCGTTGTCGGAACGGGAGAAGCCAATCTCCGGGTAAGTGAATGATCTTGATAAGCCAGTTGGCGATGAAATCCGATGGCGTTGCTGAGACTTCCTCCAATCGACCGACAATTCTGCAGCATTCTTCTCGTAGTTCATCATCTCTGATACTCAATCCCAGGAGCTGCTTTGCTTGTACAAACTCTTGTAACTGCGTTTCAAAAGGACACCCCTCAAAAATATTGTTCTTTCCACTGATTTCCAGTGAAGAAAGTCGGCTCTCGGCGTTTGACCTCATGGGACCGAATTGCGCTTGTTGTGAGATTGCAACGTTCGAAAACACCAGGTCTCGAAGCCATGACGGGCAGACTAGATCGACGTGGGATAGAGGTTCTGAAGCAAACAGAATTCGACACGCTTCGAGCTGCATTTCGTCGCCGGTTGGCATTCGCGCATGTTTGTAAAAGTGATTCTGCATGAAATACGCCAGCTCCAGTTTGAGCAACTCATAAGCTGTCCGGGGCGTTTCAACAAGTGCACGGCTCCCTTCGAATGGAAAAGGACTATTTCGTTCAGTTTCGATAAAGTCTAAAAGTCAGCAACCTCTCAACTGCTCTCCAGATCAACTTACAAGGAGGAATCGAATTCTCAACAAGCTCAAGAATATGCGGCTCAAATCCCCAGTCGCCCTTCCAATCAGCCATAGTCTTGCCCGTCTTGAAATGATCTGCTAGATGATGTACACGGTCAATCCACGTCTCCATCACAAGATTACAAAAACCGCATCGAGAGTGTATGGCAGGCGGCGGAGCTTTCCACTGTCTCATCGGCCACTCTGCGAATTTAGCATTATGGACTAGTTTCAGATGTTGATTAAGGTGGTCCTTTCGGTTGAACGTGCGTTCCTGAACAGGTCGATTCTTACACGCTGAGTAATTGTGTGTTTCGATATGCGCATCATCAGGATCGACGTGGCCGCAGAAAACACACCGAGTCTCGGGACTATCGGCTTTTTGGCCACGAGGTCCTTCTGGACTACAGACCCAGCGCTCAAGTGGAAGGTGAAGGGAATTCTCATGTCGTGACCAATCGTGCTTTGCTCGGAATGTCTCAGTGCAGAATGTGCATTGGAAGGCCTTACGGGGAGCTGCTAGTGATCTTCGCTCTTCTTTGTATGCGCGTCTCCTGCGACGAGAACTTCCCCGACTAAAGAGCTCATTGAGGCCGAGTGATGAGCGACTTGTGTGCGAATTAACTGAGCTGATTGAGCTAGATCGCGATGTACCGACACTTCTAACTGATGGCGTTCGAGATAGTCTCGTATATGGACTCGAAGAACCTATCCTGTTAGCTCCACTCACGCACGCTTCACCAAACTTACCTGATTGCGGTCGCACAGATGCTACAGCTCTTGCAATCGCAGTCACAGCAGCAGGTTCATCTTCAGGCGGCGAATCAACCCATCTCTGCAGAGGATCCATATCAGACGTATTCCTCACAGCCGGCGTCCCAGGTCGAGGCGGTATATCCATAGCAGGCGTATCACCATGTCTCGGCGAAGAAGCACTCGACGGAATCTTCCCTCGCCGTCTTGCATTCGCCAACCAATTAGATATCTGCGTCTTTGTAAGCCCCGTCTCCTCCTGCAGCATCCGCCGTTCAGGTTCGCGCGGATACGGATGGTTCTGATGCGTCGCGAGCCAATTCTTCAATATCCGCACCGACTCCCTCGTGAATCTCCCGCCGACCTTTGCAGGCGGTGCTGGTGTAGCAGTTTGACTATATCCGTGCAGCGACAGGGGCGTGAAGGGATTTTGAGGCGCAGGGTGAGTTGGAGCAAGATTGGGGATTCCATTTGATAGGTCTGGGGGAGGGGCTGAGTCGGACATGTAGGGGGTCAAGTCATCGCTGATGAAGCCGTCCAATAGATCGACGTCTGTGAAGAGATTGGGGTTGTTGAAATTCATGGTGAGAGTGACTGTAGGGGTCAATGCATGCACGTCACTGAAAAGGTGAAGAAGAGAGGTCTGATCCCTTCAGAAAGGTTATCAAGTGGCGGCATTGGCTGGTGGATTATGATTGGCTGACAAAAGGGAACCTTGTCATCACGCCCTATTGATGGGGCGTCATGTGAGCGGGGAACTACAAGTATCTGAGGCTAATGAATATATGGGATAGGTATGTCTATGAATGTCTATTTGCCTGGTGGAATGTTTCGTGGAGCTCAGATAACATAACGCGGATTGGTCTTTGGTTGATGTAAATGTCGTCAAATTGTTTGAGGACGTCAGGGTAGGGCCTCAGGTAGTCTCTAGCCTGCCAGAGGTATTTCTCTGCCTTGGACAGATTGCCAGTGTTCTGAAGCATTCGGGTGATGTATTCCTCGTGTTTCTTTCGCTCGTCTTCGGTGAGGTTTTCCTGGAAATGTCAGTACACTCTATAAGTCATCAACAAACATACCTTGATGTCAAACATGAGATTCATGGTAGGTTCAATGACGACTGATTTAAAGTCGATATCGGGATGCTCTTTTTGGAGGTCTTTGGTTTGCGCCTCAAAGTCAGAGATTGACTGCTCCCGAGTCTTTTCGTACAACTGTTTTGAACTCATTTTGATGTCTCTTGTCTTTGTTTGATGTGTTGGAGAAAACTGAGATTTCATGACAATTGACGTGGACCCTCCGACACGTCAACCTGCAGGGGAATGTCGATCACCCCAGAAATTGCATAACGTCATGAATCATTGGCGGGAGGCATGTCATGATTCAAGTAAAAGAAGAAATCACATAACGGTCATCGGGAACAGTAGATTTAGCTGCTACAGCCTGAGTAACATTTTATGATGTAGGACTACTTACTCAAAGCCCCCAATAACAACCCCTGCAACTCTTCAAGACTCTGTCGACTCGTCTTTTGGCTCGCCATGACATAAAAGACGTTGCCCAAAACTCGGCTGTGAGCATTCCAAGTCCCAGCTCCCTCTCTCAAATGGGTCTGAATCTTCTTGGCAGCCAAGCTCTTGTACCCAACACCATCATCATCCCTCAAACTAATCGCCAAAACACTTCCAAGAGCCCAGACACCCAGAACCTGCTGATTATGCGAGACATTGTTGACAAACTCTCTCGACCAAACAGACCAAGCCTGAGTATCCTCCTCCCAATCCCTCTCCGCCCATTCCCATTCTCCCCTCTTCTCCATATCCTGCATCTCCCGCACCGACTCAACAGCAACTTGACACCCAACAGCATGCGCCGTATAACTATGTCCATGCAGTAAAGCATCGCTCTTGTCATCACTAACAAACGCATCGAAAATGCTCTCAGACGCCATCGTCGTGCACAGCGGTACAAGCCCGCCCGTAAGTAGCTTAGCGTTGACGGAGATGTCGGCGTCGGTGCCGAGGAATGACGCCGCAGTAAACCGACCGAGGCGGTATAGCCCGGTAAAAACTTCGTCGAAAATCACGGGGAGTCCAGACCACGAGAGTGGGTCTTTGGGGCTGGTAGCGTCGCCGAAGAGGTGAGGGGATCGACGGACCACGTCCACTAGAGCTCTTTGGAAGAGGGGATCACTGAATTGTTAGAGAGGTCAGAAGAGGGAGACGAGACTTACACAAAGATCATTCCTCCTGCGCCGAGGATTATCGGCTCCATCATGAGAGCGCCAAACTTGCGTCCAGAAGCTTGGAGTTTTGAGAGAACGCCTTCAATGTAGCGCTCATACTTTCGGTAGTGCTCGGTATTGAGCCGAGATTGGAGATCAAAAACCTCCGAGATCGATCTGAGGTCCGAATCTTGTCCTAGTTCATCCCTCAGACCCTCGGGAACCTGAACAACCCATTTTCCTTTGACGCACTGAATGGTAGGATAGTCGAACCAATACCCCTTACCCTCATACCACTCAATCTTTTCATTATAAACACACGGCTCCGCACAATCCATCGCACCAATCGTGTCTCCGTGATAACTCCCCTTGAGTCCAAGGATATGAACATTGTCATTCGGTCCCCAGCCATACCGCAACCTCGCCGCCCTCAGCGCCATCTTGACAGCGACTTCACACCCCGTGCTCCCATTATCAGAGTAGAAAACACGTGAAAATCGTGGGTTTCCCGCACCCTTGAGGAGCATCTCCGCAAGCGCTAATGCAGGCTCGTGGATTGCCTCGGCAAACATTACGTGGCCGTACCGACCGGCTGCGTAGGCTGCTGCGAGGGTGAGGCGCGAGTTGGCGTGGCCGAGACCTTGGGACCACCATGATGCTGAGCCGTCAAAGGCGGGTTGGAGGAGATTGGGGGAGGAGGGGTTGAGGACTTGGAAGTAGTCGCCGTGGGCTGAGTCGATGGCGGAGATGGTATCGGCGGTGACGAGCTTTTGCTGGGTGAAGGGGTACCAGATTGATTTGCTTGCTTTGGAGGACATTGATTCGAGACGGGAGATTCGGTCTTTGCCTCGTTTGTCAAGAGCTTCAAGGACGTGGTCGACGTTGCGAGCGGCGTAGTACTCTTTCATCTGCTCAATGTCTTCTTTTTCATTGTCTAGTCGAGTGGGCGGTTCAGGGACTGTATCGACAGAGATGCCGCCCTGCTTTGCAAAGTAGTCACGAAGGTATTGATAGTTTTCGTACTTCATGTCCTGGAACAGAAGAATTGACTCAATGTCATGGCCACGCATTCTCAAAGACTCATAAGCAGAAATGGTCTGTGAGATGCCGCCGAGCTTTGAATCGCCGACGAGGATGACTGGTGCACGCAATGGAGCGTAGAGATCAGCTTGGGGCGTGCCAGATGGACCAGGTGAGTGAACGCCGCCAGCAGTCTCTAGAAACAGCCATCCTGGTCCTTCAGATGCGTATCGAGACGTGGTGTCGTAAATCTTGGTGAGGACATCTTGATCCGAAGGGACGGGCTACTCTATAAGCTTGGTTCGCCAATCAATTGACTTCATACCTTGCCAGATGCTTTCGCAGCGATATGAGGACTGCACGGAATATCGTATTGAAAGAGCGTCTCATGGTTCGTCGACGGAGCATATCGTTGAATATGACTACCTCGTTAGACAATGTCTCCCAGAACCACACAACTTCTACTCCAATTAGCCCAATTCTCCCAATTTCCCTCAAACTTACACCATCCATCAGCCTCATCCGCAGCCCCCGTAGAAACCGGCTTAAGAAACCACGTCTTGTCGCCCCGCTTACTCGCAGAGTTACACAAAATCGTGCTGAAAATCGTCTTTCCAACATCAGTATTCGCACCGTAAACCTGATGCGCTCGCAGCGACCGCCAAAGAAGAGCAGGCACCGGCGCCATTTTTGAGATGAGTGAAATGGACGAAAGGGTTGAGGTGGAATGCCGCGGTTTATAATGGAGGGTCTAGATCGGCACGGCTAACGACTCCGGGCGGGGCGGGGGCTCAACATGTACTAAACCCAACAAATTCCGCGTCTTTTACCGATTGAGCTGAGTTGCGTTGTGAGGTTTTAACTTTGTAATCATGTCGAAATTGGAGGAGCAGTTGAGAGCGCGATTATTGGATCGTGAGAAACGGTCTCAATTGCGGCGATTGACGACGTTTCCAGCTGACAATGTCGACTTTTCGTCAAATGCATACCTTTCGCTTTCTTCGGTACCTGAAATTCGAAGCGCATATCACTCCCTTCTTGAGAATCATGCAGCGCCGCCTCCGCTGTTAGGGTCTGGCGGTTCACGGCTGCTCGACGGCAATTCAGCCCTAGCAGAGAATCTGGAGAGAGACATTGCGGCATTTCATAACGCGGATGCTGGGTTGTTGTTTAATTCGGGGTTTGATGCGAATGTTGGTCTTGTGAGCTGTTTACCGCAGCCGGGGGATGTTGTTGTGTATGATGAGCTTATTCATGCGAGTGCTCATGATGGGATGCGGTTGAGTCGCGCGGGGCGGAGAGTATCGTTCAAGCATAATTGCGTGTATGGGGAGGGAGGACTCGATCAAGTTTTGAGTGGAATTGGAGGCGAGAAATCTGTGTTTATTCTCGTTGAAGGTGTTTACAGCATGGACGGCGATGTTGCTCCTCTGAAAGACATTGTGGCATGCGTCAAAAGTCGACTCCCAACCAATGGCTACATTATCGTCGATGAGGCACATTCTACTGGCATCTTTGGTCATCAAGGACGCGGTCTCGTATGTGAATTGGGTTTGGAAAAAGAAATATTCGCGCGATTGCATACCTTTGGCAAAGCAATGAGTTCATTTGGAGGTGAGAAGCCAAAACCACTCATCTAACGAAGCTAACCATGCAGCTATTGTTCTGTGCTCACCGACGACGAGAGAGTATCTCATAAACTACGCCCGAACTCTCATCTATACGACTGCAATGCCTTTCTCCTGTCTCGCAAGCATCGGCATCTCTTATCAGTATCTGCAGAGCGGAAGAGCTGATGAGAGACTGAAGCATCTCTGGAGTCTGGTGAGCTACACGCACAAGCTACTAGCGGAAGCGTGCTCCCTCAGCCAATCAATCCGTGCGGAGGCAGCACCGAAGTCACCAATTATACCGGTTTTTACATCGCAGCCACGCAGTCTAGCTCAATTCTGTCAGGAACGGGGGTTCACAGTCCGCCCAATCGTGGCGCCGACGGTACCGAAGGGCAGCGAGAGGGTGAGGATCTGTGTGCATGCAGGGAACACGGTTGCGGAAGTGGAGGGATTGGTTGAGACGATCAAGCTTTGGGTGCAGGTTCATGAGGGGTCTGCTAAACTATAGACAAGAGGTGTATGGATGGGTACTTATTGTCAGACACCATCTCGTCCACCGCCGGGCATCAGGCATGATCTATCTGCACCCCCCAACTTTTATGTCTAGATGGTTTAGTAGTTGGGCCTTGTGGCATAGAGCTTATAATTACCGCATACAACTTAGCCGCACCCCCAGAAAGAGAGTTTAACCATTCCCCATATGTATGCTGCATCCGCTGTGGTGGATCCTTGAATGGCATAGACAGGAATTCTACTAGTAGTTCAAGGTGTATACGTTGTTTTCACTAGGCGCTTGATGTACCTTTGGCTACACAAGTTCTCAGGTTCGTCATCGACGAGTAATGCGATGACTAGCGAGGGGTTTCGGCAAACCTTACGCCCATCCATGCCATCTTAGATTCAGGCTAGTGTATCGCGAGAGGGCTATATAAAGCCGACTTGCCCCCAGTCTCACTGCTTCTAACATCCTTTGGACTACCCATTTATGGCGCCACATCAGGGCCAATGTGCTACGAGGACTTGTACTCTCATCATGTTAACCTGGCGCAGGTCCCTTTCGGTCGATGGATAAATTGACATGTATTTTCTAAACAAAGCAACTCAACCTGGACTGGAAGCTGTGACCGAAAACAATAAGGTCCTTTGCCCAAAACAAGCCCTAGGTCTCTAGGTCTCCCTTCCCATCCCGAAACACTTCATCGTACCACGGCTTCTCCGCCTCTGCCTTTTCCGTCTTGGCACGACAAACGTACCCAAACTCACGCTCCACGATACTAACCTCCCCCGAATCGACGATGAACGTTTTCGGCTTCTTCTGTGTGACATTCGACCGCGACTCCCAGTACACCAACCGTTCCCCGTTGACAGCGATCTCCAAAAATGGCTTCGCTTCAACGATCGCTAACTGAGCCTTGATGAGTTGGCGAAGGTACGGGAAGAACCAGATGCGGTCCCACCAGAGATATCGACGTTTCTTGGCTCCATCCTTGTGAGCATTGTGATGGACGACGACGGGAATGGCAGTGGAGTAGAAATCGGCATATACGGGCATATCTCCCCATTCTGCTGGATCATGAAGAACGTACATGTTCAGTGGGTTTGTAGAAGATTGGATATCGTCTGGTACACCGTCTAATCTTGGTTCAATCCCGAGAGACACTGACTTTTCCGTAATACCAGTCTCATTATTCAACGCAATAATTTCCCCATCTTGCTCCTCGAAAACGGTCGGAATGAACAGATTCTGCGTATAGTCCAGCCCGACATGGTACTCGAAATCGCCATGCATAATATCGAAGCTCTTGTCCTTTCGAGACACAGTATTCTTACGAAGCCAGCGCCGCCAGATTTCTTGTTCCGCAAAGATTTCACCGAATATTCCTTGATCGCTGTACAAATCCTTGCCATTCACCAACCCTCTCTGCATCCGCTCATGCACGCGACGAAAGTACTTTCTCATATCGCCAACGGGACCAATCATGCTCCCACTGTTGAGATATTTCGGTCGTACATCGTGAAACACGTCGGGGTCTCTGTCGGTGTTCGGCCCGTAGAGGTCTTTACGAGCTGGGCTTTCGGGGAGTTGATCGCAGTGGAGGACTGAGCCTGATGATGGCGGAGGGAAGCATTTCTTCTGGGCTGATACGATAATGGTTTGTTTCATTGGGGGTTTTCCGCGGCCGTTCCATTGTGATGCCAGGCGCTGGTTGGCTTGACGGTTTGCTTCGTGGTATCGCTTGAGGAGGATTTCTGGCGGAAGCTGGAACCAAACGTCATACGAGTCCGTGAGGACAACGATATCATTCTCCTCGAGTCTATTCTCGTCCGGAGTGTCGGGATTCGAAACACTATCGAGATACTCCAGAGTACCTGTGATTTTCGCCAGATGGGACCCTCCCTTCCATCCTTTGGATTTATCATACGTCTTACCCCAGTTCACAATAACCGGGGCTGGATACCCCAATGCCAACGCACTCGTGATGACTTTGCATAAATCGTGGTCTGGGTTATTGGCGGGGAGGACAATACTAAGCCGTCGATCCTTTGAAGGAAGCTTGGCAATGTCCTGCTGCGGGTATGTCTCATAGGCTTGGCCGGTCGCAATCTCTCCGGCCAAGAATGCGTGGCCCTGGTTACGTTAGCATTGGCGTTGGGGGCTGTTTTTTCATCTTACCTTAAGAGAGTTGAGGGCTAGTAGGCCGGGTAAAATGAGGAGAGCAGCAATGAGGAATGCTATTGTTTTTAGGGGAAGACGCAGAAGGCGTTTTGCAAAGAGCTGGAGGCTTGAACCATTCTTCTCGGGGGTGACAGCATCTTCAAGGCTGCTGCTAGAGTCAACTCGTTTGTAGCCTTGAGGCCATATCTGGGGGAGCATCTGGCGTAGTGTATTCATGTCGTACGTCAACAATTAACACAACGAGATTCTCGGTGAATTTCAGGGGATTTCCCTCATATATACTCATCACGTTCATCTCTAATCCTGCATCGCCACAGCAGGAACAAATCTCGGCATTCTTGGCACCTGATACAGTGGCGGTTCATACTTGGCGTCAGCACATATCAACGCACCACAGCAGAGAATGGCAACAACCAGGAAATTATTCAATCGTCACCGTCCAATTATATGCCCCTGGTGCCATGATCCTTTCTTGGCTATGCCGAACGTCCCGAGCGCGCTGCTCAATGGTGGAGGTTACCCCATGCGCCCACGTAGCATCCCGTCTAGCGTCTTGGTATATACTAAAAGAGGAGGATAGGATTTCGCTTGGAGTAAATGACGCGTTTGAGCGAACTCTTATGAGTTTGCCTAGTGCCTGTTGTAGTGCTACTTACTTAGTGCTAAGACCAGGTATTTAGAAGAAATATATAATAGGGTATTTAAGTTTAAGCTTACAGTTAGCTATAAATCTATATAAAAATATAATATAAGCTTAGTCTATAAGTATTAAGCTTATTACTTTTAATTTATTTCTTTTTTAATATTTTATAGTAATAAATTAAAAGATTAAATTTAATATAAAAAGTAATTGTTATAGTAGTAATAGTAGTAATAAAAGCATTTAAAAACATAAATATATTTTATTTACTTTAACGGTATACCTATAGACTTATATTTAAAGAATTATATTATAAGTCCTCTTTTTTTAGCTTTAAAATTAATAATGTATTTTATTTTTATTATAATATATAAGATATAATAGCCTTAATAATTAAAAAATAATAATTAAGAATAATAATTTTACTATAATAGTATATAATAGATTTAGTTGCAATTATTCTTAAGACGATAAGAAGAAATGCAATATTAAGGCATAATTGATTTAGGTTACTGTTGCGTACTTAGCAATCCGAAGCTGCTCCTCTTGCGCTCATATCCGTCTGGTCGGTTTACTTACCAAGTACGTTATAACCTTTTTCCAAAAATAACAAAGGACTGCTATTCATTTAGACTTAAGCTCCTACATTCTGAAATTTAGTTGTCGTGGCATTGCTAGGCAGCTACTTCGAAAATTAATACCCCGCTTTAGAAGTCTTGCACAGCCTCAGCTACATACTCGCTATTACATATCTTTAATCCAGAAAAACTCCTTTGACTTTCAATAATGGTGTCGAAAATCCCAGATACGGAGTCTTTGCTACTCTATCCAGGGTTTAAGCCACGATTATACAAGCCCCTTACAGCCAGAGAGATCCGACTCCTCGTGATCCAACCAGGCGTGTTTCGTGAGCGACTCAGGTGCACCTTGAAGACAGTTTCGCTCGATGACGAACTTCCACGCTTTGAAGCGCTGTCATACTGCTGGAATGAACTTCGAGATACCGTTATAGTCGATGATCACGCCATCTCCGTTCCGTCAGATCTGGCTTGGTTTCTTCGCCGGTTAAGACGCAAAGCAACTCCGCGCACAGTCTGGGCAGACTCTATCTGCATCAACCAAAGCGACAACAAGGAGAAAGGGCATCAAGTCAACATGATGCGTGAGATATATCAACGTACTGCCGAAGCTCAAGTCTATCTCTGTGAGAGCCTAGGCTCAAGTCTGCAGCAACAGGAAGACGAGATCCAAGATGACGAGTATCAGCCATATCACTGGCATGGTGATGAAAGAGACGTCCATCTCTCTTCGTTACTTGCAGCATATGGCCACCAGCCGTTGAGCTACATTATGATGGATATAGTAGCAGTTGGGTTGTTGACATGCATAAACGGCCACTTCTGCTCGCTGGAGAAAGATACAACTGCTGTCAGTGGATGTTTTCAACTAGCAATTCATCATTTCTCGTACATGGTGGAGCAGCCGTGGTTTTCTAGGATATGGACATTCCAAGAGGCGGTGCTTCCCAAGGTTGTATCTGTACACTTTGGGGTCTGCGTCTTTTCGTTAGACATGATGCTTAATGCGGCACAGAAAATGCTATCTCTCGTGGGAACAAAAGCCCCGTCTTGCTGTGCGTCAACTTGGGGGCAACTACCACCTTTGGGTGCATCGGCCGTCGGCCACATTGAGGGGCATTTATGGGACCTAAACCTTCATCGCAACTCGGCACAAAAGAATAACCAAAAGCCTATCCATGCGGATGTTGATTTGGTGCCTTTACTGGAGGCTACCAGGCACAGAAGCTGCAAAGAACCCCGGGACCGAATATACGGACTGCTAGGGCTGGTTCATAACTGGCGCTTCACCGAGCCAATCACGCCTGATTATTCTCTCAGTATCGAAGAGTTGTACATAACAGCGACGTGGAAGGCAATGATAGAAACGCAGACGACGCTGCTGCTTGCATACAACAGGCCGAACAAGACGTTGAATTTGCCATCTTGGGTACCTGACTGGTCACGAACGTTATCAGTGGCCGAAAAAGCATCGATACCACTGACGAAGACTTCGAAAAGTTACCCCGGGAGACAGGCCCTTGAGCTTCTGCCGATGGACCGACTGCGTCTAGGCATGGTATTTGTTGGCAATATTCAAAAGACTCTAGATCTCTCCGACTTTGGTGTTGAGAAAACCACGCAAGATCCCCTGGCCTGCGATGCCATTATTGAAGCAATACGTGCTTGTCGGGGAATGGTTGGCTTGCCCACCGATCACGAGTCAACGGAAGAACCCGGCAGATCCAGAGATAAGCTGTTCAGAGAACGGATTCTGACAGACTGCTATTTCCATAAGACAAGAGGGTATCAGCAGTGGAAGAACAAATGCTCCAGTCTATGCGAGCAGCCAACCGACACGTTTCATGGAGGTCATGCTCAATGTTTCTTTACTCTGGCGGACGGTCGTTTCAGCCTTGCCAATTTCGAATGCTCTACACAAGACGCGGTGTTCGCCACAGTCGGTGGTCTTTCTGTATTTCTAGTCCTTCGACCGTGCAGAACAAGTCAGACGTGGTCCAATGTGGAGGAATGGGAATTGAGAGGGCCTTGCGAGCTCTGGGACTTTAATGGAGACGCCAACAAACAGCCTCTCCAGGGAGATGTATGCTCAATCACGTTAGTGTAGCCAGTATATTCAGAAAGAGTTGAATAGATCTCGCCTAGAGTAAATGGCTCGTCTAAACGACTCTTGCATTTCGTCTTCCGGTGTCTTTGGGCTGGTACGCCTCGTGGTCAATCCCATGCGTCCCCCATTTTCTCCACCACCGATTTCCGTAGGATAATCCTTTGCTGCGACTCCAATGGTTGTTTGGTGTTTTCCGCACCTTTTTCCGCCCGTGAGTGCCTGTTCTCTGATTAGGTATTGTTAAAAGACGGGAAAGATACGTACATCTTCCGTTGTTTCTCTTTGTTCGAGTGGTGAATTGATTGCACTCCGCACAGTACTTTCGATCACCCATCCAACCCCGCAATCTCATGAACAAAGGACATGAAATGCATGCACAATGCTTCTTGCAGTATGAAACATTGCAGACTGGGTGAGCGGATGGGTAGTTTCGACATCTGTAGCAGATTTTTCCTCTGTATTCATGGCGTCTGAAGCGATGGCTTATTGGGGAGTAGACCACTTGTTGGTCTCTTGCGCCGACGCAATCTTGACGGCGGAGGGTGTTGTTACGGTGTGGATCATGGCATTCTGAGGGGACGTCTGGTGTTGGACCAAGTTGATCAACCCATATGAGATTAGGTTTGCTGGGGATGAGTGGTGCGACGAGATCTCGCATGTCTGGGCCGGTCAGTGAGAGGCAGACTAGGTCGTTTCTGGTGCAGAAGCTTAGAATGTCGAGTTTGAGCTCTGGAGGGAACTTGTGAAAGAGGGTGAAGGGTTCAGAAGATGCGGACATGGTGTCAGATGCGGCACGTGAGATGGAGAGTCAAGTGTTTGGTATTGAGTATCTAAGTGTGATGAGATGGAGAGAAGCGGAGATATTTATGAGCCTTGCTTTGTGCTACATACTCCAATCTTCAGTCAAGGCATCTTAGGCAGCCTTCACAGACTCCGCAATAGAGTCACGTGTCGTCGATCAGCCTTGAAATATGGGGATTCTGCCTGATTTGCCGTCATTGATTTGCTGGCCAGGATTTGCCTTGATACCCTGTATGAGCGCACCTAACGCAGAATATTATCTCCAAGTGAGCAATTAATATAAGATGACATCCTATCTTGAAATGAATACGGCCTGTCAGTTGAAGGAAATTACGTTCAAGGCATTAGACTGAAATGGTTTAGGAATTGATGGGCTAGTCAGTCAGATGAAAGAATGACAATGAAATTCCATCGTCTCATTTTACACGCTGCTAGCAACCATCTAACACTCTTTGACTCGATTTGTCGATTAAATTACGCGACAGCAAACACCAGTGTATTAATCAGTGTACCAAGTCTGACTACTCTTTCGAGGAAACAGGTCGACATCAAACTCCAATAAAAACAACCCAACCCTAAGCGAACCAATTCACAATACGGTTCGCGATTAATACCAAGACTCTGTCGTCTCTAGTAAAACCCATAGAAGGGGACAATCTCATCCTCAAACAGGTCCTCCTCCTCGTCTTCGTATTGAGGATCCTCTGCATTCTTGATCATCAAGTTCAAAACATCGAATCCCTCCATTCGGGTCCACGGATGACCAGGTCGTTCCATGGTTGGCCCTCCTTTCATCCCCTGCAACATGTCGTTCGCCAGGAATCGGAACTTGGACAGAGTCTTGTTAAAAGACATTTCACTCTGTGTCCAGTCCAGGGGACCAGCCTTGCCCTTAAGCTGGCTAGGCTTAAGCTTGGCCGCGAGAGAGACATCCTCAGCGGTGAATAGCTTGTTGAGGGCAGTTTTTCGGACACTGAGGATCTGAGCAGCCACATCTCGTGTCCACTGCTGCAGGATCTGCTTCGCCATTTGTCGGAAGTTCTTGAGGTCGTTGATGAGCTCTCTCTCGTTGTCGAACCAGGCCTCGGGCCAGTTTCGTTCGTCCTTGAACAGGGTGCAGTGAGGCTCGAGAAACTTTGCCAGGTTGATCTCGTAGTGAGAAAACCAACGGCGGAAGACATGTTTTTCGCGTCGGACGCAGTCGTGAAATCGCTGAATGTCGCAAGCCATGATTCGAGTGTTGAGCTTTGCCTCTGGGGTCATGTTTGTTTCGGTCTGGTTCATCTGGTGCAAGTTGGGAGCCACGAGGCTAGTCTGTTCATAAGACATCTTGTTTGTGAGAGTAACTGTGTCCGTTATAGAGATGTCCTCGCAAAAAAAAGGTGTCAACTCGTCTTTGGGGTTATAGGCTCAAGAGCGCAGAGTGTAAGGGATGAAGAGTAAGAGTGAGGTCTGCTGAGGTAACGAACAAAGGTAAACGTGAGTCAAAGTTGCAGAGTGCAGAGTGTATGAGAAATGTTTGGAGGGAAGAAGCAAGTCCAGCTGAACATGGGAGACGCGCTCTATTTATAATAGAACTGTACCCTTGGTGAGTCAGGCCAGCATTATTAACTTCCTGTTCACAGTGGCAATTCGTTAGTGAGTTTGAGGAAGTGGCTCAGAGTCATAGACAGAGGCTTGCAGTGTTCACCAGTCCATGGCCGTGCTTGTACTCCTGATACTTTTACCAAATCCTTCCAGGAACCCTATTTAGTATGTGATAGTAGAACTACCTTTGACTTTACGTTTTACTCGATTTTATACGTGGTCACTTGATTTGAGGGTCAACGATAGACTTTTGGCTTTAAAATCAGGTTGAAAACCTTGCGATAGACTTTTCAGTTACAGGGAACAACAAATGGACTTTTGCCCATGTCACAGCTCACAATGGACGTGCCCTCAAACGCGTCAGAAGGTTTTTAAACGTGATACAGTCCCCCTTTCCATGCCACTTCTGTGCACCGACGACTTTAAACCTTTGCCGCAGGTGAACTCACTGCACTCTCATCAAAGTTTACGCTCCTTGAGTAGTAGAGCAGTGATGAGCGTGATCCCGGAGAACACGATAGAGAGTCCTGATTCGTTAGTCGAGTCTCACCAAAGGTACTAAGCTCTCTCGGCTGTTTCAAGCTCTCAGCCATATCTACATACCGTGACCATACTCTATTCCTCTAATATAACCTTCAATCAGCACCTTTCTGATAGGCTCGGAAGCTTCGTCGATGAAGGAGACACTCTCGGCAGCTTTTCGAATGACCTAGAGACTTAGCAGACTTCACAAACTCAGTGGAACGACTCACCTCGTCAATGAAGTGTTGAGACTTTCCCAGGTCACTAACGTTCTGCTGGATATCGTGTCTCAGGAGTCCTTGAATGGCTGCACTTGTCCCAGCCATGCCAACAACTGAACCCAGAGTCACGGCGAGGAAGATTCCAGAAGACGCTGCTGCCTTGTCTTTGGGGTCGATGGAAGCTTGAAGAGCGATAAAGGCTGCACTTTGAGCGATACCCATGCCAAGGCCCCTGAATGGTTAGCATAGAATTGGAAAGACAGGAGTACGTACCCTGGGAAGACGTAGAGAGACTCCAGCCAGTTGGTCTGTCCGTGCCAGCGTAGCAGCATCAGAGTGTAGCTTGTGATTGATGAGACGGCCGAGAAGATGATAAGACCCCTGTATCGACCAGTTCTTTTGATGATCAACCCTGTTGCTATGCCTCCGACTGTATTTCCGATGACTGCAGGGAATAGATGAGCGCCTGCGACTGTGCTTGACACACGCTGCGTAACCTGGAAGTAGATGGGGACGGTATACATCATCTGATGGTCAGCCTAGGCCGCTTGCAGTACTGTGACACTTACTCCAAGCTGTGCACCTGCTTGACCGAACGCAATGAGATACGTCTTCGCTACATCGCCGCTTCGAAGCAAGCGAAGAGGAAAGATTGGTTCCTTGGCCCAGCGTGACTCGACGAGTACGAATGTAGCTGAGAGAATGACACCAGCGGCTGCGAGAGTTGGCACGAGGGGATGACTCCAAGGGATCTTCTGGCCGCCAATCTCTAGAGGGACCATGAAAGCGAGGACAGAGCCGCCCAGGAGTAGAGCCCCAAGTGCGTCGATTCTCTTGATGCGCTCCAGAGTTGCGCCCTCGGTCTGAGTTGTCGAGGGGAGGAGGATGGCAGCGATGATCATGGATACAGCGAATATTGGCGATTGTCCGAGAAAGGACCTACGCTGTCAGTATGAACTATCAATAGAGTGATGCACTCACCATCTCCAGCCGATTGTATCAGCGAGAAAACCTCCGAGCGGACCACCGATGCTACGACCGACGGTGGCGATGACGTTCATGTAGCTTTGCCATGAGGCGACTTCTCGAAGAGGTGCGAGTTCTAATGGTCAGCTTGAATTGGATTGCATGACAGGTGTCGTACCAGTTATGATGACCGATGCCATTGTAGTCATTCCTGCACCTCCAGAGCCAGAGATTACGCGACCTAGGATGACTTGCCACATTGACTGGCCGGCGCCTCTAAAGTTTGTTAGACTGAAGCTATACTGATAGGCATAGACTTACACGAGGGCACTGAATTATTAGCCAGATTCAAGTGATTGATTCGTCGGGTCTGAACTCACCATCCAACAGCAAAGAGTCCATAGCAAAAGATCAATATCGTCTTTCGTCCAAAGATGTCGCTCAATTTTCCGTACTAATCAATTAGCTCAGTCCATCCCGAATATAGTCGTACATACAATCGTTTGTGATGCTGCACTAGCCAACATGAAGCTGATGAATAACCAACTCGAATCCTGAAGCTTGCCAAACTCGGATGCAATTACCGGATGAGTAGCCAGCACCAAAGAGCCATCGGCATTAGAAGTAAAGATGCCTGAACAGTTAGCTTCGGTCTTCAAGTCCTAGAAGACGTACCAATCAGCAACGCGACAACTACTCTTGCGATAAATGCATGGCTGTACGTTTTCGGCTCATCGGTATTTCTCTCGACATCCGAGACCTCGGGAGGTATCTCCGGTATCAAAGGAGTCGTCTCTGTCGCGTTAATTCTGGTCATTTTACGCGATTTGCCTGAGGGATTGATGTTAAAAGATTTATTTTGAGGTTCGTTAAATCTCCGATATCGTTTTTATCGTAGACGTGATTTCGGATCAAAGCACATCATCGCTGATCCACTCCGCGGAACTGGATGCACTAGCTGGGTGAGGCATATAGACACGGGAAGCGGGCAGACATATAAAAGCCATAACCTCTATTCTCTCTCTATCCTCTCTCTATTTAATATGAGATAGTTCTCGTATTCTGCTCGTCAATTGCGTGATGAGACAACCCCACTGGTTCACGCCGCACCTCCGCATCGACCGCACGGACTGAGGAGGACGAGGCTCTTTTGGGACTGATCTATGAACCCTGCCAGCAGATCTACCATCTTTGTCATTTCCTTTGTCTTGACCCAATACAATACTAGCAATTCTGTGTCAAGACCAACGCCAGTCTCACTATCCCCAATTTGCACATCATGAACTTTGAGTCTCACTTTCACTGGACCAATCCTGACTCATCAATCAAGAGTAAAATGTGGATCCGCCCTTTCTGAACATGTCCGAGACTTCGCCGTAAACTCATCGTAACCCCATGACCTCCAAATTCCATCACCACCAAACATGGCAGACCCAGGCGATCTCTTCATCGACTTTGCAGACTTTCAAAATGCCGCTGAGCCTGAAACCATCTCCCCTGGCATCCTGCAGACATCGACGGCCCCCCCAAAAATCGGTAATCGCTTTTCATCCGAGTCTGTCAAGATTCTGAGGAATTGGTTCGCCGCGCATGAGAGGCATCCGTATCCTACCATCCAAGATGTTCGGGATCTTCAAGAGCAGACGAGCCTGAATAGACAGCAGGTCACGAATTGGTTTGC